CATAATGCCTTCAGGATTCAATGTGAGTAGCTGCATGTGTCAGTCCACCACAATTTGTGTTCACTGAAGGACAGCTGGGTTGTCTCCAGGGTGGGACTATGATGACCAAAGCTGTCATAGTACTTAACAGTTTGGTGTGGGAAGGCAGTGGGGAGTCAGGGGAGGCTTACAGGGGGGATGTATTAGGAGACAGACTGGTGGGAACATGAGGTTAAAGGGATAATTATGTATATTGGGCCCACTATGCTGACCCCCACATGCTTTCATTTTTAAAAAGCAATTTACCTGAAGCCCTGCCTTAAGTCCACAGGATAGGTTACATTCCTCAGCAAACTACCTATTATTTGCAGGAGAAATACAGGCCCCAAAATGCTGATAAGAAGAAAACAAGTTACGCTGAAAGGGGAGACTTTTGTAATCCTTACACAGACCATATCCCCAAATTCAGGGAGATAAAGATAATTCCCCCTAACCATAAAATCCATAAGAACAGGTTCCAATTAGAATCAGTCAGCATGGGCTAAAGTGACCTAGAATTGTCACAGCAGTGGGGACTTGAAAGTCTGATGTCATCTTCTGTTAGTCGAAAGTCTGGACATGTGTGGGACTCTCTGGAAACTTCCTTGGGACCCCAATAAAATTTGAGGGCAAGAGAGGTACACAGTCTTTCTCTCTGAAAAGACCTACTATCTCCCTTGACAGTGTCCCCTTTTCCCCTTTCCTAATCCTTCTAATAAATTCATGCCTGTTACTTCGAATGACATGTCTGAAATCTTTCTGTCATGATTGAAAGAATCAGGGTGAGCCAGGCATGGTGGTCCATGCTTGTAATCCCAACTGCTCCCGAGGCTGAGGCAGAAAAATTGCATGTTCAAAGCCAGCTTCAGCAACTTAGTGAGGCCCTCAGCAACTTAGTGAGACCCTGTCTCAAAATAAAATATAAAAAGGGCTGGGGCCAGGTGTGGTGGCACAGGCCTTAATCACGGCAGCCGGGGAGACTGAGGCAGGAAGATCATGAGTTCAAAGCCAGCCTCAGCAATGGCAAAGCACTAAGCAACTCAGTGAGACCCTGCCTCTAAATAAACAAAATAAGGATGGGGATATGGCTCAATGGTTGAATGCTCAAGTTCAATCTCTGGCACCCCACAAAAAGGGCTGGGGATGTGGTCTCAATGGCTAAGTGCTCCTAGGTCCCAGTACCAAAAAAAAAAAAAAAAAGAATCAGGGTGAAAGGGACCTTCACATTGCCTCAATTTCCCAGAAGTCCCCAGCATTGTAACAACTGGAGGAAAAGTAACAGCAGTGGGAGATGGACATATTTTGGGGGTATTCAGCACCTTAATTGTGATAGTGGCTTTCTAGGTACATACACATATGTCAAAACATCAAATTGTACACTTTAGATATGTGACCAGTATATCTCATTTTAGAAGCTAAGCAAGGTCAGAACTGGTTAGTACTTGGATAAGAAATACATGTACAAGTTTTTTTTGTTGTTGTTTTTTTTTTTTTTTTTTGGTACAGGGTCTTGCTATGTTGCCAAGACTGGACTCAAACTCCTGGGCTCAAATGATACCCCTGCCTGTCTCCTGAGTAGCTAGGACTACGGGTATCCCATCACACCTGGCTTAGACAGTATTTCTTGTATGTCAATTATACCTCAATAAATCTGTAAAAACACACAAAAAAATAAAAGGGCTAGAGTATAGCTCAGTGGTGGAGTGACCTTGGGTTCAATACCATGAATAAATAAATCTGTAAAATATGTGATCAGTGGCCTGTATGAATGTGTTCAGTGCCTTGATTGTGATAGTGGCTTCATTAATCATGCTTACAAAAATGACTTCCTGTGAACTTATCAAATTAATCAGAAGCACATGGATGCATGGGTATATCAAACTCATACTGGAAAAACCAGACCCAGGAGCTTATCGAACATTCCAGGCCACCGAATGAAACAACCCTCTTACCCATAAAAGGAGGAGTACCCCAAGATTGAGCATAGCAGTAAATTCTCCCATCACCAGGTGACCCTGCCCGCTCTGGATGTTCATGACACAAGACTCTCCAGGCCTAGGTCTGACCTTCCCAACAATCCCTATCCTTCATCAGAGCATGGGGCCTGCACACAACTGTCTACTATTCCACTGCCCATGTGACAAGTACCAACTCACCTTTGGCATTTCAGCCCAGTGAAGTGCAGTATGGGCTCCCCAGGGACACTTAATGCACCTCCATCTGGCACCTGCACCTGTTGCTCCCTGGCTGATCCCCAGATGGCTCTCATCCATTGTACTGCCATTGATTTTTTTAAATCTGCTTCTGATAATTCCCTGAGGCAAGAGGACACCTCTGTAGCCTGGGTCCCACATGCCCAGCACTGGGCCTGGCCCAAGGCAGACACTCAGCACCTGTTGTTTTGAATGGGTCTCAGATTGGCTCCTCCTAGAAAGCTCTGACCAAGTTCCAAAGTTTTTCCATGACCTTTGACTCTTTAAGGGTGTCAGTCACCCCGTTTTCGTGTCTGCTCTGACCCTGTCTCCTCCCACTTTCATGCCATCTGCCTTGCCAGTCCTCAGAAGTGTCAGGAGTGTTCCCACTGGGGTCTTTGTACTTCCTTCTGCCTAAAGTCTCTTCCACATTAAACTTACCAGGTTCCTGCTTTACTGATTCAGGCCTCTGCTCAAAATATCACCTTTGTGGAGATGTCTCCCCTGACCTGAAGTAGCTTCTTCCCATCTGTCCCTCTTCCAGGCTGTTCTACTTGATCTTCAGAGTGCTTACTGCTACCTGGCTTTCAAGAAGTCTCCACATCCCGTGCCAAGAGAAATCAAAACTCCATCTGTGCTGAGGGCAGGGGCCTGGTGAAGCCATTTACTTCCTGCTCTTTCTGAGTAAGACAACTGGTTTAATGTGCAGTAAGAAGGATTTAGGATAGACAGGGAATATGCCTCTGTTCTCTCAGATATCACATCAGTGAACACTCTGTCAGATGGTCTGTCTTCCTCATCACAGGGTTGATCAATAAGGTCTGGTTTGTCTGTTATTTCCACCATGGGTCTGGAACTAATGAACAGATGACTAACTGCTGAGAATAAATGAATGGATTGGAGTCAATCCATTCATCCAGCAAATGCTTGCTGAGCAACCACTATGTCTCCTGCACTTTTCAGGGTGCTGGGCATACAAAGTGACAGTCTCTGACCTCACACTTTAGTTGGAGACACAAGTAATTACACTGTTGAGAGAAGCAATCTGCTATGGCTCCTGAGAATCCCTGCATGTTTCTTGCTTGGTATGCCAAGAAAGCAAGATCCTGATAGTTGTTTAAATAGGTCATTTCTTAGGGTTGTGTTCGAAGAAAAGAACCCTTAAAGGATGAGGTGCTCTCCTTGGACAAAGAACAGGAATGCTTACCACTTACTGTAATGCCCTCCGTGATGGGCCCTTCCATGGGGCTTGGAGAACATGGGGAAATAACACAAACTTCAAACTGTAGCTGCTGCTTTTACAAAACAATCAAGCCCTTTGTCTCTTAGCCAGAGTTTCATGTCTTCTGTCAGAATCCATGAAATAGTAAAGCATTACTTTGTTATTGTGTAAGTGAGATAACACCTCAGCTACAGGGAAGTTTTAGACAATGACATGTGAAGTGGAGATTAGTGCTACAGAGAAAATAGAGAAGAAACAAAAAAGAGGGATTGTGGGGATGAGGATGTAATGGAGTATTTGCCTAGCATGCAAAGTAGCGAGTGGTAGAGCACTTGCCTAGTAGGTGTGAGGCCCTGGGTTCAATTCCAAACACTGAACAAAACAAAAGGAGGGGAGATAAAGAGTATGGAGGGGTGCTGTTTTGCAATTTTCTTTCTTTCAGATCTGGGGATTGAACCCACAGTCTAGTTTGCTAGGCAAGTGCTTTACCACTAATCTACAACCCAGCCCATGTGACTTACAATTTTAAATAAGGTCTTTATGAAAGGCCTTTCTGTTAAGATTAAATTGAAGCAGAAATATAAATAAAATGAGGCTGAGAAGCAAACCATGTGACTACTGGGGAAAAGGGCATTTCAGCCAAAAGGAACAGCAGAGACAATAGTCCTGAGGTAGGAGGTGACTTGGAATGTTTGAGGAACAGCATAGTGACTGGTGTGGTTGGGAAGACGTGTTGGAAGGAAAAGAGCAGAAGATGAGATCAAGGAGATTGTCAGGGACCAGAACACAATGGGCCTGGGAGGTCATTTCAGGAGTTGGCAGCACCAAGTGAGATGGGTACCATTGGTGCAAAGTTTGATCAGTGATCTGTCCATTTTAAAAGGGTGACTGCAGCTTGGAGAATAGATGGCAGCCCTGGGGATCTGAGTGAAAGCAGAATGCCTGTGAGAAGTGTTACAACAGTCCCAGCACAGACGAGGGATGAGTGACTCCGTGCTGGTCATGGCAGAAGAAGTATTGAGAAGTGGTCAATTTCAGATATATTTTAAGATTAGAATTTTTAAAAAATTGTTTTCGGATTGATCAAGGGGAGTGAAGAAGAGTCAAGAGTGACCCCAAGCTTTAGTTCTGAGCAACCACAGGAATGGAGTCAGCTGAGATGGAAAAGGCATAGGAGGAGCAGGTCTGGAAGGAATCAAGAGTGCCTTCAACAAGCACGAATGAACAAAAGTGAACAAAAGGCCTGTCCAGAGCCTTAGATACCTGGGACCAATGAGGGACCCTTAGAAAAGAAGGTAGCGCGCCAGTAATCCCAGCGGATCGCGAGTTCAAAGCCAGCCTCAGCAAAAGCGAGATGCTAAGCAACTCAGTGAGACCCTGTCGTTAAATAGAATACAAAATAGTGCTGGGGATGTGGCTCGGTGGTCGAGTGCCCCTAAATTCCATCCTAGGTACCCAAAAAAAAAAAAAAAAAAGGAGGTAGCGGTTCCTTTAAGAATGCCCCTCCCCTCCCCGCGAAGCCCCGCCCAGAGAGGACCACGTGTTTCCCCGCCACGAATTACCGGAGAATCTCAGCACGGTTTGAAAGTTCCGCGCGCAAGGCGAAAGGGGCATTTCGGCTGCGATCGAGATGTCGGTGTTAAGGCCGCTGGACAAGCTGCCCGGCCTAAACACGGCCACCATCTTGGTAGGTGTCGGCGAGGGGTACTCGCCCACCCGTTTCCACGGTGGGCCTTCCTCCCTTGACTGCCTTGAGTCCCCTGGCTTCTGCGCTCTCTGACCCGGGGCGCGCGGTATTCCTCGCTGTAGGCGGGAGAGCCGTGCTCTGAACCAATCGGAGTAGCCGCTCTCCGAGGCTGAGGGACACCTGCACCAATCGATGCGCGGCGTAGTCTTTCCCAGCTTGTGATTGGTGGGACGGGTGGGCGGAACCCGGACGCCGGGTAGAGCCCCTTGCTGGTTCTTGCTTTCACTCATCCTAGGCTCTGGCCTCAGGTAGAGGTCCGTTGGAGGGACTGTGGGAGTGGGCAGTAGGTGCGGTGCCCACAGACCTGGAGCTGGCCTAAATTTTAGACCCCCTGCAGGGACCTTCCTCTCGGGAAATGGTCCCCTCCGAGCTACCTTCGGGCTGTGGCCTGATCCCCCAGGGAGGGGTTCACCGAGCCGGGTTCTGCGGAGGAATTGTCCTGCCCAGGTCTCACCCCGATTGCTTTCTCTCCCTGGGCAGCTGGTGGGCTCGGAGGATACTCTCCTGCAACAGCTGGCGGACTCGATGCTCAAAGAGGACTGCGCGTCTGAGCTAAGGATGTAAGTAGCTGAGGCTCTGCGGGAACTCTGGCTGGGAAAGAGGGAGAGGAGAGGGAGAGGAGAGGGAGCCTCGGAGGGGGCTCCCAGCCGCCTGTATCCTCATTGAGCCTGCCTTCCTCCCGAAGCTGGCTCCTCACGTCTTACCTCGCTTGTTCACACCTTGCACAGGACCCACTTGAGCACCCTGTCCATCACTCACTGTCGCAACACTTGTTGCTTTGCTCTTAGTACCTATCAACATAAAGGATCTCCTGGCCACCTGTTGGTTCACTTGTTTCTTGTCTGCCACCCCCATGGACCTTGAGCAGTAACTGGCACTCAATTAATAATTGCTGAATTAATCGGGTTAATTCAAGTTTCAAGAAAGATTTCCAGGGCGCGATTGTGCACACCTGTAATCCCAGCCAATCTGGAGGCTGAAGCTGGAGAATCCAAAGCTAAACACCAGTCTGAGCAACTTAGAACCTGTCTCAAATTTAAAAATTTTTTAATACAGGGAAGAGGATGTAGCTCAGTGGATTCAATCCCTAGGAGGGAGGGAGGGAGGAAGGAAGAAAATTTTGAAGGGTAGGGAATGCTACAAATGTATGAGGGTAGTGAAATAGAAGGTAAGAAGCTGAACCATAAAATTATCTTCTCCAAAAAACCTAGTGAAATGAATTGAAAAACAGCAAAAATGAGCAAACTTAACAGGCTGAAAAAAATTCTGTCATGTTTTGTCTGCTAACCCTGCTACTCCCACAACAAAATTATGAAAATTCTTTAGTACCCCAAGTTTGGAGAAAAGGTTACTAAAGAAATTCATTTTTATTTTCTTTTTCTAACTGGAAGGAAGCAGAAACAGCTGCTGTTTACATCAAGTGACTGAAAATGTGTGTCATTCTCCCTGATAGAAAGATAAGGCCCAGTGATCTGTGTTGAAGGAAAATGGTTCAGATCCAGAAGGTAATTCCTCAGTGGGAACTGGAATGTCTTTTACTGGGCAAAATAAACCCTGCAACAGCACTTTCAAAAATCTCTGATGAGGGAGTATGATCTTTTCCCTCTGAATAGATTGTTTACAGGTCTGTCTGTGCATCTCATCAAGCTTTTCACTACAGAACATTAAATACAGCAACCCACAATCTCAAATGGAAAAGGAATTTTTTTTTTTTTTTTTTTTTTTTTTCCCAGGGGTTGACCCCGGGACCACTTAACCAGTGAGCCACATTCCCAGCCCTTTTTTATATTTTATTTTGAGGCAGGGTCTCGCTAAGTTGCTTAGGGCATTGCTAAGTTGCTGAGGCTGGCTTTGAACTTGAGATCCCCCTGCCTCAGCCTCCCAAGATGCTGGGATTACTGGTGTGCAACACTGCACCTGCTGAAAAAGGATTTTTTTAAATGCATTTACCCAGAGGCTGGAGTTGTAGCTCAGTGGTAGAGTACTTGCCTAGCAGGTGTGAAGCAAGTTTGATTCTCAGCACTGCATATAAATAAATACATAAAGTAAAGGTCTATCAACAACTTAAAAATATATTTTAAAAAAATTCATTTAGCCTGGTGTGGTGATATGCACCTTTGATTCCAGCTATCTGAGAAGCTGAGGCAGGAGGATTGTTTGAGCCCAGGAATTCAAGGCCAGCCTGGGTAACATAGAGAGCTCTGAGTCTACAAAAATAAAAATCCATTTAATTATTATCAGGGTAAATGGAAAAATACAGAAAAAAGAATCTCCTACTTTTAATAAGAACAAGTGGAAAAAGGTCATGAGAATCATGGGGGAGGGGCAAGTAACATGGCATACAAATATCCATGAAGAACTCACTCTGGAAAAACAGGAAAAGGAGCTGGGCACAGTGGTGCACACCTGTAATCCTAGCAGCTCGGGAGGCTGAGGCAGGAGGATTGTGAGTTCAAAACCAGCCTCAGCAACAATGAGGAGCTAAGCAACTCAATGAGAACCTGTCTCAAAAAAATACAAAATAGTGCTGGGGATGTGGCTCAGTGATTGAGTGCCCCTGGGCTCAATCCCCAGTATACCCTCCCCCCCCCAAAAAAAAAAAAAAAAAATACAAGAAAATGAAAATAAAATTCCACTTTTAGTGCTCTGGACAATTGAAAAATTTAATAATAAAATTAATTTTTTAAAGAAATATTCATTTGGGTGCTATGGCACACACCTGTAATCTCAGGACCTCAGGAGTCTAAAGCAGGAGGTTCTCAAATTCAAGGCCATCCTAGGCAACTTAGACCCTGTCTCAAAAATACAAAGAGCTGGGGATGTAGCTTAGGCATGGCCCAAGGATTGATCCTCTGAACCACCAAAAAGGAAAAAAAAGAAAAGAAAGAAACATACAAATACTAACTGGAAAAACAACAGAAAGAGGAACTGGGAAGCTGAGGATCTAAGAGTTAAAAAAGGGCCAAAAAATGATACTGTTTGAGCTAGCTAATGAATACCTGGAGACAGGATCCGAGTAGATTTACAAAGAAGAAAGGTTTGAGAAAAATAGCAAAAGCATCCAACGATATAACAGTATTTTCTGAAATGAATGAAAAGTTGAATTTGTCCAAATTGATGTATTCTTGTTACAGGTAAAATGGATGTAGAATACAGAATACTTGACGTCAAGTTATATCCTAGTTACATTATCAAACTCAAAGAGTAAATAATTCTTCAGACTTTTAGGCTAGAAAAGCAAATCACCGGGACTGGGATTGTGGCTCAGTGGCAGAGAGCTTGCCTCGCATATGTGAGGCACTGGGTTCGATCTTCAGCACCACATAAAAATAAAATAAAGATGTTTTGTCCACCGAAAACTAAAAAACAAATATTAAAAAAATTCTCTCTCTCTCTCTCTCTCAAAAAAAAAGAAAGAAAGAAAGAAAATCGTCTTTATGGTCATCTGTTCATGCTGTTGCTACATATTTCCAGTTCTCAGTGTTTGCAGCCCATGGCAGTAATTAAGATTGTACTTCTTGTCTCATGTGGTTGTGTGGAGCTATGTGACTGGTTCTGGCCAATGAGATGTGCACAAAAATGATTGTCTCTTCAATACTGCAGAATTTAATTGCTAGTACAAGAATTCCCCTGGCCCTTTGCCTCCCCATCACGACCAAAGTGGCAGCTTCATCAGCCTGGGTCCAGACTTAGAGCAAAATATAGGTGTATGTAGTAACTAATAACAGTGATATTGAGGCATAAATATGCATTCATAATGTCCAAATGGTAGGATAAGATGTAAGAATGTTAATTTTCTCACTTTCCATAATAGAGAATCAATACAATATAGATAAAATTGAAACAGTTTAAAATGGTGGCAATTAGCCCAGCACAGTGGCATTCACCTATAATCCCAGTGACCTAGGAGGCCAAGGTAGGAGGATGGCAAATGGCAAATTTGAGGCCAGCCTGGGCAACTTGGTAAGACCCTGTCTCAAAATAGAAGGGTTTGTGTTATAGCTCAGTGGTAAAGTGTCCCCGGGTTCAATCCTCAGCTGCCTCCCCCCACCTTCGCCCTGACAAATGATGTCAGCTTCTTATTTTTCTTCACAGCCTGTTTTTATTTACTTATTGTTTTATTTTGCAGCAATGGGGATGCAAGTTAGGGCCTTGCATCCTACTATGCTAGGCAAGTATTCTGCCCCTGAGCCACATCCTCTGTTGCATACTCTGATTCAGCTCTTTTAGGGAACGGTCTCTTTTGATTGAAGAAATAGCCTCACCAAAGTTCATCTACTTTTTTCATTTCTGCTTGTTTTTTGCTTCTGTTCAACTCAAGTTAAATGAATGCTATTATTCCATTTTTAGATTATATCAACACTGTTGTCTAAATGTATATACATTACGTAGACATGTTTGCCAAAATGTTCAAATACTAATTTCTAGATGACTGACTTCAGGGTATATGTGAATATTTTAAACTTGTATTTTTTGTGCTTTTTGCTTTTCTCCATTTTCTAAATTATAGTCTGGTGAAGGGTGAAATGGGTAATAGAAATCTGTGGAAATGGGCAAAAGTAGAGACTTCAAGAAAAACTTTCAGGGCAGTGGGCACCGCTTAGCGGTGGAGCACTTGCCCAGCATGCTCTTGGCCCTGAGCTCCTTCCCCAGCATCAAAAACTAAACCCAGAGACCAAGCCCAGATGCAGATTACTTGCCCAGGGTCACATTAGCTTGGCAATTGACAGAACTAGGACTTGTGCCCACATCTGCCTCAAAAGGGGTTCAGTCTTAACCTCCTAAACTTTATAGCCCAACAACCCCTTCTTCTGAGACTGGTCTCCCTCATCTCACAGTGACCTCCCAAGCCCTGCACCATGTGCCATGTAGCTCAGCAGGTCTTTTCACCATGGTGCTTACTAAACAGATCTCTTTTCTAGCATGCGGAATCGGACAGGAGGGAGGTGGGTAGGACTAGATTTATCTTCCTCTGTTCCTTCAAGAAGTCTTGCCTGGCTGGGTGTGATGATGCACCCTGTAATCCCAGCAGCTCAGGAGGCTGTGGTAGAGGATCATAAGTCTGAGGCCAGCCTCACCAACTTAGTGAAACCCTGTCTCAAGATTAAAAAATGGAAAAAAGTTTGAGGATGTGGCTCTGTGGTTGAGTGCCCCTGGGTTCAATTCCCAGTGCCAAAAAAAGAGAAGTCTTGCCTGCAGAGTGTCAGGTGAATAGGTGAGGAGCCCTTGGCATCTTCTTCCCCTATGAAGGACAGCACATGACAGTCACTATGAGTGGATATGTTTGTGTTTAATGCTCTGATTTCTTGTTTTTCAGTCACTTGGCAAAGGCCCTCCCTTTACCCTCCAATGTGAATCGGCCTCGAATCGACCTGATTGTGTTTGTGATTAACCTTCATAGCAAATACAGGTAGGAACCAGAGGACATGAGCCCTGGGGACCCAGGTTGACCTGACTGGGAGTGTGCTGGGACAGTGACCTTACTTGCGATAGGCAGGGAGGAAGCAGTGAGAGGTTGGCCAGGGTCAGCGTAGAGGGCAGAAGGGAGGAGCCAGTGGACAGTGCACAGTGTTTAACCCACAAATCCTACCATGTCCTCTGTTCATTTAACCCTCTGAAAACTACTCTGTATATCCAGCGGCAGGCACAGAAACGGACAAAACAGACTGCTTTCCTCAGGTGTCCTCGTCCACTGGACTTTTGAGAGAACAGTTAGAGTTCCGGGGACATGGACTGTAAAGAGGCAGGAGCTGGGCTGTGGAGCCCACACAAGACCTCCAACGGCCAGGCCTTAGGTGTGGGAGGCCAAGGCAGACCTTTTGGTGGAGGTAATATCTAAATCGACACCTGAGAGTCAGTCAGGTAAAGATGGGAGTGAGCCCCTCCAGGGGCACGGCTGGCCGAGGTTAGGCAGGGCAGGGTCCATTACAGACAACTAGTGATGTGGGGGCTGAGGGAAGGCTGTGTTGGGGACACCTGGGAACCCAGGAGCATGAAGATGGCAGATATTCTAGCATCAGGAGGACGTCTAGACCTTGCAGCCAGCTCCTTGGAACTAGTCAGCATGGGAGAAGAGAAGGAGTTGAGAACTAGCATGGTTACCTTATAACGGGGAAGGATGGGAGGCCACCTAACTGCTCATCACTGGGAAGGTAGAACGTGGTGCGCTGTGTGCTCACGCTGAAGGACCTAGCAGTTCCATGCATTTGTATGCATCGGTGTTGTATCACTGCAGCAAACGTCCAAGACAGTTCCAGGCCCAGGGTGTACACCTGTAATCCCGGCTACTTGGGAGGCTGAGGCAAGAGAATCACAAATTCAAGACCAAACTAGGCAATTTAGCAAGACCCTGTCATAAAATAAAAGGGCCGGGATGGAGCTCAGTGATGGAGCTCTTGGCCCTTAGTTGCATCCCCACTACTGCAGAAAGAAAGGGAGGGAGGAGGGAAAGGAGGTTTATTTTGCCTCAGTTCTGTAGGTCCAAGGTTGAGGGACCACGTCTGGTGATGGCCTTCTTGATGGCAGAGTCCCGAGGACTGGCCAGAGAAAGGGAGCACATGTGTGTCTGCCTGGTCTCTCTCACTCTTATAAAAGCCCCAGGATTCAATCTGGGGACCTCACCTGCCCACCTTGTCTAATCCTAATCCCTTCCTAAGCCTCACCTAACACCATGGCCACATGAAGTCTTAGGGACGCTCTCAAACAATATCCCAACAGTAGTACAGCAGCACTGATCGGAGTTTGATGGTGTGTGGGACCCAAAGAGTAAATGCTGGTTCATACCACCATAACGCACCTGGAGCATTCCGAAGGGATGACACCCCAGACTGATGGCAGCAGTTCCCTCCGGGGAGTTGGGATGAAGGGCAGCGCTGAGCCAGGGGACTTGACGGTCTCTGCGTGCATCCGTGTTTACCAACTGACGATTTCACAAGTGGGAGTCACTTTTTAAAAAGTAGTTACAAAAACTAAAGGACCGAGTATTCCTCCAGGCTGTTTCCCTGTCCCCCTCCTCTTGTTCTCTGACCTTAGACCAGAGAAGCAGGGGCTCTGCTGTCTCCATTGTGAAGTTTGTCCTCCTCTGGTTTGTTTTCTTGCCCTGGCCTGGCCACCCTAGTCTCCAGCACGTGGAGGAGTCGCTGCACCATGTGGACGCCAGCTTCTTCCTGGGGAGGGTGTGCTTCCTCGGCACTGGTGGTAAGTGCGCCCCTCACCTGCCACCCGCCCTGAGAGAGAGCGGGCAGTCAAGGGTCCTTGCCGGGGCAGCCCGGCTGATGACTGAGGACCTGGCTGCTGTCAGACTTTCTAACAGTGAATCTGAGCAGATAGTTCTGTGGCGCTCACAGCTGCCTGCTGGCTTCCTGCAGCTTTCAGAGTGAAATTCAGACTCCTCTAAAGTCACAAAGTATTTTGCAGTTTGGCCTCTGCCTTGTCGAGTGTCACCTCCTATTACCCTCATTCTTTGGGTCAGCTCTCATTCTCTGAAAAAGTCCTGCTGTTGCTGAGACTTTGCAATATTAACAGTGCAAATGGTCATAGCTGACCTTTATCGGGCTCTTCCCAGGCCCAAGACTATTGTAGGTGCTTCGTTTCTTATCATTAATCTTTGAGCATTAATCGCAGTATTATCTGTTTTATAACTAAGAAAACTGGCCACGCCCAAGGTCCTGTAGTACTGTGGTGGCGAAGCTGAGAGTCACGTGGGCGACAGTCCCAGTCAGGGCCCATCCCCTCTGGCTACGTCGGGGTTCTCTCAAGTGCTTTGTTCTCCTTGTCTTATTAGTCCCTACAGATACCTCAAAACTGAGTTCTGGCGTCCCCTCTGGCACCAAGGACAAGTGTGACATGAACTGTGAGGGGAGTGCTTGGCACAGATCATTCTCAATAAACTCTGAAGAAGGAACCAGTGCCCGGCGAGCCCTGGCTCTGGGTTGCTGGCTCCACCTGACCGAGTGGCAGGGCTCTCACTACGCTCATCTCATAAGTGGGAACTGTGTGTTAATAGAACGCTCTCTCCCAGCCCTTTGAGCTAATTTGATGGTGGAACAGGTTGTCACCCACTGACCAGTTCAGAACTGACACCCGAGGGCTGGTAGCGACCGTGCCCAGGTCTTGCTAGGCACCGCCTTAGTGCTCTCTGCTTCTTTGCAGCTGGGCAGGAGCACCACTACAGCCTTCACCGGAACACGGTCCTGAAGCTGGCCCACACCTACCGCAGCCCCCTGTTCTTCTGTGACCTGGAGGTGAGGACACTTTCCACAGTGGCCAGTGTTACACTTGGTGTGGGGAAGGGGCTGTCAGGACTGCTTATTGCAGGATCAAGTCCAGGTGAGGTGGCTGCTGAGGTGTAGGGGGACATGAGTCCTGCCTTTTCTGTTCACTGGCTGTGACCTCTAGGTACAGTGTAAAATGGGTTGAATGCCATCTCTGTGGCTTGTAGCCAGGCTTTCCCTTTTCTTAGTTTCTCTGTACTTGTCTTGTTTGTGGATTTGTGGGTCCTCATTAATATCTCGCTTTTCTGCTAATGAGAACAGGTGCCAGATTGCTCCTTAACCACTGCATGCTTCTTGACAGTCACAATGCCCAGTGTCACCCTTGTCTCCCCTGATTGCAGACCCTGTCCAGTCCCAGTAAAGGCAGGGCACCAGCAGGCTGCAGCAGGTTTGCAGAGTGGGCGGGCGTGTGGCAGGAGGGGTACATGTGGTATCGGCTTGCTTCCATTGGGTCTCTCGCAGGAGATCCCAAGTGCGGGAGCAAGCTGCATTTCCTCTTCACTGATCCATTTGCCCTTCAGTGTAGAGTCGGTGTGCTCCCTCTGCTGGGTGTGTGTAGGGCCAGCAGGGCCTGCACTGCCCCCGGCCCATGCGCCAAGACTGTTCTGTTGCTTTGGGGATCTCTTCCTGAGATTTGAGGTTCATTATGAAGATTCATGTCTTTTCTGTGTTCCTGGGCTGACACCTTTGGATGGGATGCAGAGAGAACCGAGTGCTCAAGCACCTTCCCCAGCATCTGGCCCAGGGGTCTGCAAACCCCTCTGCTTTGGTGGCAGAATCCAGGGGATGTGGGAACTTGGAGAGAGGGGAAAAGCTTCTTTTTCCCTCTGCTGACTTCTAAGTGAAATCGAGCCTGGTGGACATACGGAAGAGCGTGGGTAGGAGTAGCAAAGTCTGTGACAGCCAGTAGACGTGTCGATGTCTCCCTGTTACTTCAGGAGTGGCAGACCTAGCTGTTGGGCCTGCCCCTGCTCCGCCCTAGACCAGTGCAGTGACAAGGGTACATACTCCTCTCTCACAAACTTGGTTTTCGTGTTTGACAACTATTTTAGGACCCTGACCAGATCAGTGCTCTGATCTCACAGATGGGACCATGGCCCCTGCACACCTGCAGTGTCTCCCCTCCAGACTTCCCTCCCAGCGAAGCTCTGAGGAAGCTGAGACTGAGAACAGGCTCCTGCTCCCAGTCACAGAGCTGGGAAGTTGGCAAGCCAGTTAGCACACAGCTGTCCCTATCATAACCTGCTGTTGTGACTTGGAACCAGTCCCCTCCCCCAGGGAGCCTCAGTTTTCTTACCTCTCATTGAGGAGGCACCTTTGACCCACAGCTCACCACAGGGATGCCCTGGGTCCGCCAGCCTCCAGGCAGGTGCAGTTCTGTGTGTGGCCATGAGATGGCAGGCCACACCAGGTCTCTTCTGGCCTGAAACCAGCTGTGGCTGACTGGGCAAGAAGCAGAGGCCCCAGCCGTTTCCAGTCAGCAAGGGGGTGCAGAAGTGCCCACCGACCGCGTCCTTCAGATGAAGCCGCGGAGTTTGGTCCGGCGCCTCTCCACACGCCCCTGCTGTCCTTTGGAGAGCACACTTCCCATACCGGGTCCCTTGCCATGGTGTGAGGCGTGGCAGGGATTCCCAACCCCTAAAGAGGAGGAAGCACCCAGAGAGGAGTGTGATTTGCCCAGTAGAACAAATGCCCAGGTCTGCTGGTCAGGCCTGTGCGGGTGCCTAACGCAGACGTTGGTCCTGCCCTCTTGATCTAGTAAGATGAAGATTCGCCGGGTTTTTGAAGCCTGGTGTAGAATTAAATCATTTTTTCCTGTACGTCATGGGCAAAGTCGAGACTGTGGTCAGACTTGGGTTTGGGGTCCTTGTCTCGGTGTGATGTGTGGGTGAGAGGAGGCAGCTATGGAGCCAAGCTAGTGATGGATTTGGGGGCAAAGGCCACAGAACGTAGAGCAGGAGGATTTATTCCACAAATCCTTCTCGTGTGTACTGCTCTAGGCCCCAGGGATGCAGCATAGAACAAAATAGTAAAGATTCCCAGGACATGGGCTGGGGCTCTAGCTCAGTTGGTAGAATGCTTGCCTCGGCTACTCAGGAGCCTGAGGCAAGAGGATGACTTGAGCCAGGTTTTTGAGACCAGCCTGGGCAACATATCAAGACCCTGTCTCAAAAAATCCTGACTCTGTTCTAGTCAAGAAAGCGGAAATGGTGAAGGGCTGGGTGTGGTGGCATACCTGTGATCCTAGTGACTCAGGAGGCAAGGCAGGAGGTTCTCAAGTTCAAGTGAGAACCTGTCTCAAAATAAATAAAAAGGGCTGGGGATGTGGTGCAGTGGTAGAGCACCTCTGGGTTCCATCCCTGCTACCCCCTACAAAAAAATGTATGATTTTTAGAAAATGGGGGTCTGATAGGCCAGGTGGAGGTAAGGGGCAAGATTTAGATAGAGCAACCAGCCAGGCCTCACTGCAAACGTGACTTTCAGATAGAGACTTGAAGAAAGTGAGAGGGCAGCCGTGGTGTTACCCAGTACACGAGCGACGTCCGGAGCTCGCCCCGTGTGTCCAGAGTCGGCAGGGGAGGCCAGGGTCCTACAGCTGAGAAGCAAAGGCAGGGCCGAGGGGGATAAGTCAGAGTAATGGTGGGACCAGGTCAGTGAGGCCTTGTGGTCACAGTAAAGACTGTGGCTTTTGCTCTGAGTGAAACCAGGGCCAATGCGGTCCCGGAGAAATGCAGCCTGGCTTGTGTTTTGCATGGGCCCCTCTGAGGGCTAGAAGGAGGCACGGCGGAGGAAGACAAGAACAGAAATGGGGAATTGGGTCCAGAGACTCTTTCTGGAAGAGTTCAGAGTGGCCTGGCCAGGAGAGGTGCACACCTGTAGTCTCAGTGACTCTGGGAGGCTGAGGCAGGTGAATTGCAAGTTCAAGGCCAGCCTGGGCAACTTAACAAGACCCTGTCTCAAAATAAAAAATAAAAAGGTCTGGGGATGTGGCTCCGTGGTAGAGCACCTCTGGGTTCCATCCCGAGTACCACACACACTCACACACACTCAAACACACACAGTGGCCTGGACGTAGTGGTAGCTAGGGGAGAAGGGGACAGGATGGAACATGACTGGCTGTTTCCAGAGAGGAGGTGACAAGAATGTGCTCATAACCAGATGTGAGGGAAGGCGAGTGGTAGGACGGCTCTGAAATCCATGGCCTGACCGCTGGAGGGTGGCTCTGCCTTTGACTGCGATGGGCGAGACTGCGATGGGCGAGACTGCAGGAGCAGGGCTTGGGGCCACCAGGGCCACTGCTGTGGACATGAGCCATCCAGGGGGAGAAGTCCAATCACTGCACACATGCATGTGACACTTAAAGATCCAGAGATGTAACTTGTGTGTCCTCAGAAATTGGGTGTTTTTTATTTTTTTTTTTTTAGTTATACATGGGCACAATATTTTTGTTTTGTTTATTTATTTATTTTTATGTGGTGCTGAGGATTGAACCCAGGGTCTCCCATGTGAGAAGCAAGCGCTCTACTGCTGAGCCCCAGCCTCAGCCCCAGCCCCAGAAATTGGGTGGTTTTAAAGCCACAGAACCAGGTGAAGTCACTTAGGGATTGAGTATGAGAGAAGGAAGTCAAGAACCAAGCCCCAGCTTTGGTGTTGGGCAAAGAGGAGGGAAGTGCGTGGACAGTAGGTGGGTGTGGGTGGGCACCATACCAACAGCAAGGTAGAAAGGCGTTTCAAGCAGGGCTGAGAGGCCCTGGCACCTTCTGGTAGCACCAGGGCAATGAGGGTAGAGAAGTTACCACTGGGTTTTGAGCCAAGATCGTGGGTGACAAAAGGGGGTTTGAGTTGCAGGAATGAGGGAACTCGTCCTGAGTCTGCAGACAGGCCTGGCCAGCACCCCTTCCACTGGCCAGAGAGGCATTTCTGAGGCCAACTGTGGGCTAGGGGAGTCAGGGAGCATCATGATTTGTTCTTCATCAAACATTTACAGATAATCTTGTACTCGCCCAGCATTCACCTGGAACCCCCTCAGCTGCCCTGGGCCCACCAGCCCTGCAAAAGCTCCAGTAAAGGGATTCCTTATGAATGGCACCTCCATATTTGGGGTGAGGGCCTCCCTCCCATCCCTCTGAGTGTCTTCCTCAGATGCCAGTAAGTGAGCCTTGGGGGCTTGGGCCTGGTTCAGATCCCAGCTCCGCAGTCACTGCCTATGTGACCCTGGACAGTGTACTTGGCCTTGCCAACCTTGCTTGTCAAGGTTTACTTCCTCTTGAGCAGGGCTTATGGTTTCTGGGTGTCTCTGGAAGTTGTCTGAAGGGCTGGGCAAGCTGAGCAGGTGGGAAGCATGAACGAGGGTGTGGCCATGGTGGAACAAGATACCCTGAGCTGCCCCCAAGTCTCGTCCCCCAGCTCTGCCTGCACAGCTGCCCCGAGTGAGGGAGTAGGGCCTGCGGCCGAGTCTCTCACTGCTGCTCTCTGCTCCCTGCAGGTGGAAGACTTTCGAGCCACCATGGCGCAGCGTCTGGTGCGCATGCTGCTGATCTGTGCTGGCCACGTACGTGGTGTCTCAGCCCTGAATCTGCTGTCTCTGCTGAGGACCTCTGAGACCCCTCCACCAGAGGAGCTGTGACGGCCACTGGCCCCTGGCTGTCCCTCCCCGCTTTGGGCTCCGTTAGCTGTCACTGTTGGTGAAGACACAGGCTGGGTTGGGCTCCCCAAGCCCCAGCAGGGCACCGGGCAGGATGGGGAGGAAGCCCAGCTGCTGGGACTCCAGCCCCTCCAACGCCCACGCTCATCCTCTGAGGAGGTACATCTCCACTTAAGATTTCACTGGAACAAAGGGCCCTTGGCTAAAAAAAGTTTGAAGATCACTGGTCTCATCCACCACTTTGACTTTGCAAATGAGGAAAACTGACTCAGAACAATGAAGTCAGGATGTGGGAGGATAGCTTGGACGGCACATCCTGGGGCCTGCTACTCTTATGGAGCTTGGTGGTTGCTTCTGGGAGCCTCAGTTTCCCCAGCTATATATGGAGATGTTTGTACTTAACTCACACGGAGGGTTTAATGGAGTGAAGGGGAGGTGCCTGAGACTGGGCCACACCCACACTTGTTGGCTTGATAGACCTCCTGAGACCTGGTGCTCTGCACAGGCCAGGCAAGGCTCAGTGAGCAGTCCCTGTTATTTGAAATCACACAACTGAATTTAAAAATTGGTGCAAGGGGCTGGGGTTGTAGCTCAGTGCCTAATACACATGAGGCATTGGGTTTGATCCTCAGTGCCACATAAAAGTAAATAAATAAAATAAAGGTATTGTGTCCATCTACAACTAAAAAAGAAGGTTCAAATTTGCAAATTGAGAATTTGCCCCTGAGGTCAGAGGTTTATGAGAAATGAGAGTGGCCACCTGGAAGACTTTGGGCCTTCAGCAAGAGATTACACAGTGGCAGTAGCTCTCTGTCTCCCTCTAATCTAACTGGAAATTTGTGAAGTGCTAGGATTAGACTCCAGAAATCCTGGAGCCAGGTCAGGACTTCTGCTGCTGCAGGAAGTGGGACTGATGCACAGGATCTCAAGGACCGAGGGAGGTGCCTGGCGGGAGAGATCTTGGAGAGAGAGCTGGTCCTGAGCCCTCCGGACCCTCACCAGGCCTGGCCTCAGGCAGGTTCCTGCTGATGTCCTGCTTAGAGCCAGGCTCTGCCATGTCACCCACGCAGCCATAGCCCGAGTTCTTCTGTGAAGAAGGGGCCAACTCAGAACTCCTTGTGAGTGTCCTGAGGGTGAGGCCTGCCTCCTTTCTGTAGGTACCTTCTAGAACTAGCCCAGGGCCCCACCCTAGTGCTAAGTAAGGTTTACACACCTGGCTGACTTCGTGCAGATGCAGCCCCTAGGGCCTGCTGAAGACTCAGCTGTGTAGATTCCGGTTGAGGCCCCGCATGTCACCTGACATTTGTGAGGCACTTCATGCTTCACAGAGCTCTTCTCACAAGGCGGCCGCTCCTGTCGCCCTCCCAGCAGACCCGTGGGGTTGCTGATGTTCTCTATTTCACAGTTGGTGAAAGGAGACCTGTAATTGGAGGTGTGTCCGCTGTCACAGCCAATCAGCGGCAGAACCAGCCTGTGGTGCTTGGGTCCTCAGCTCTTCTGTGTGGCTAATCTTTGAGCCAAGGCATGGCATCTCTGCAGGAGGCCTGAGTGGGAAGCAGAGGTAGACCCGCCTGGCCTGAGAAAGAAGGCTGCAGGGCAGTCCCTAAACACTGCCTCAGGTGGAGCTAGGACCCCATTAACCCGGAGGGAAGCAGGCTAGGAAAAGGCAGGGCCCACACCACAGGAGGGGGCCCAGTGGGGCTCCAGCAGGCCTCAGCCTGCTGCGAGGAAACCCTGGGTCACGGGGCCAGGGAGGCCAGCGTCTGCTGGAGGGCAGTGGGCCCAGGTCTGCAGAAGAGGGAAGAGGTGGAGGTATGTGTTGTCTCTGAAGGCAGAGGCCCAGAAGGGTCAGCCTTCGCAGAGGTCCCCAAGCATTGTCCCCAGCACCCTCTGAATCCTGGGCCATAAAGGGCGGCTTTGCTGGGGCGGGGGCTTCCTCCAGGAGAGGAAGGCAGTGAGGGCTCTGGGGACTCTCCGAGATGTCACCTTTTGCTTAAGACAGGGAGGCCTTCCCTTCCCTTCCCCTTCCCCCAGCCAGCTCACCTCTCTCCCTCAGATCCCTGTGCCACATTTTCCTTGCCACCTGGTGCCATTTAACAAGAGAAGTGGCATTGCATTCTCCAGTGAGGGCTGGGAGCCTTCCAAGTGCTGGGGAACTCGACACTGTCACTGCTGCCAGCTCCCTGCGGAGCTTGGCAGGTCCCTGGAACTGAGAGGCCGCTCTCGGGCTGGGGACTGGCCTGCCCCTGCCTCACGGTGGAGCTGAGTGACACATTTAAATGGCAGCAAGGTGTTCACAGACCAGCTGTCCCCAGAAGGCTGGGGACAAGTGGACAGGGAGTGGTTGCTTCACTGTCCGAAGGCTGTGGCAGCGTCTGGAGGAATGTGTCTGAGGGAAGGAACGGAGGCCCTGCCCCCTGCCTGCCAGCGAGGGAGTGTGTTGGGAGCTGCTGGGGTGGAGGGGGGGTGGCTGCATGCTGATGGCAAAGCCTCAGGCGGGTCACTCATCTATAGGATGAGGTCAGGCTAATGAGGGGATACCAGGGATTGAACCCAGAGGCACTTGACCACTGACCACACCCCCAGCCCTATTTTGTATTTTATTAGAGACAGGATCTCACTGAGTTGCTTAGGGCCTCACAAAGTTGCTGAGGCTGGCTTTGAACTCGCGATCCTCCTATCTCAGCCTCCCTAGCCGCTGGGAATACTGGCGTGTGCCACTGCACCCGGCCTGGGAGGCAGTGTTAGAGGGTAGACAAGGACCATGGGCACAGGTCTGAGTGGGCAGCCTGAAGATCCCTCAGATGTCCCTTCATCTAGGTCTGGGAGCTGCCTGCTCCCTGCTTTCCAACACAAGGAAGGTGGGGCCTGAGCTCCTGCTGTCTGGATGAGGTGTCTGAGATTCAGGGGGCAGAGCTTGCTTAAAGCCACAGGCTCATTTGTTCTGCTGGGCAACCCTTGGCCCACCCTACCAGAGCTCACTTTCTCTGCAAGAGGTGGCCCCGACCCAAAAGTTCTGGCCTGAGCCAGGCACAGTGGCACATGCATGTGATCCCAGTCACTCTGGAGGCTGGGGCAGGAGGATCGCAAGTCCAAAGCCAGACTCAGCAGCTGAATAAGGTCCTAAGTAACAGTGAGACCCTGTCTCAAAAGAAAAAATCAAAAGGCTGGGGATGTGGCTCAGCGGTAACGCACTGTTGGGTTCATCTCTGGTTAAAGAAAGAAAGAATTCTGGCCCCAGTGACCCCAGTCTGGTGGTATTTCCCACCCTTGCCAAGGACGCAAGGCCTTCCTAGCAAGGGCAGGCTCTACAGCATGGCACCATGCGTCCTTCACCCCTGGGTGGGCAGAGGCCGGGCAAGTTGGCCACAAAGGAAGTGGTGCAGTGGGAAAGGGCTGGGCCTGTGGGTCCCACCACCAGGCTCTGTGACCAGCTTGCAGCGTGACCTGGGGCAGTGAATTCCCACTGCCTACTCTACCTCTTGAGGACCTCTGAGGCAGACACACCAGAACCTACCCTGTGCTTGTCCCTTTGTTCACCCTCCCTGGAGGGCTGGCTTGTTATCCAGGGGAACAAGGGACAAGGTGAGCTTTGCAGGTCCCTGAGGCAGCGCGGTCCCGGCCTGCCCCCCAGACGAAGGGTGCTGGGCCAGGCCTGCTAGCGGGCTCCCATACACAGGGCCCTTGTCCAGAAGCACTGGCTGGCTCAGTCCTCCGTCCCTCCAGTCTCCCAGGGCCTGAAGGATGATGGCCATTATGAGAGGACTTCTCAAGACACTTGGGCTGAAAGAGATAACGTGGGTGGCCAGGCCCTACACACCTCTGTGGGCTCTGCCTGAGATGGTTCCATGGACTGGGGGCTGCTGAGGACAAGTTCCAGAAAAGAGTTTGGGGGTGGTCCCCAGTCCCCTGGACCTGGGCAGAAGCAGCCTTCCTTGAGACCACCCTCACATCAGAAGAATGCCAAAGGCATTTGGGAGTCCCAGGGGGATGGTCAGTGTTCAGAGGAGTCCCACACTTGACCCTGCTCTGAGACCAGCCTCCCTGGGAGGGAATACAGGCTCCTCGGGGCTGGACTGACCCCCACCCTCTGCTCCCCGTGGGGTCTACAGATGGACAGGCCCCACAGGCATGTGCAGGAGCTTGGCCTGCCTGGCCTGGCCCTTTCTTCTCTAGCTGTTGCAAGGTAGGGACGGCCGTTCCTCTCCCCCACAGGGTGGCTGGAGGAGTGGGTACCGAGCAGCTTGGACCAGGTGGTGGGGCTGCATGTGTCCCCGGTCACTGTAAGGTGCTACTGCTCCCCAGATGGTCCTGGGGCACACTCTCATCTCCAACAAGGTTGCCCTCTCACCAGGCCTTCTGCAACTCCCCTGTTGAAGAGTGCACCCCAATCCCCTGAAACCCTCCCATTCTGAGTTTTCCTTCCCAGTGATCCTTTCTCCCCCTGCTCTCCCGTGGTGGGGGATACTAGAGACTGAACCCAGGGATGCATTACCACTGAGCCACATCCCCAGCCCTTTTGATTTTTCATCCGGCTTCTCCCCATTGCTTCTCATCCCTTACCTACTATACTGCTTCCCTGCCTGTGCTTGGCTCTGCGGTTCCCTGCTGCTGCCCCAGAACCTGGAACAGTGCCTGGTATATAGTAGGTGCTAGTAAGTACATAGTAGGTGTTAGCATTTGGTGGATACAAGGTACCCGCACATGGTATTGGCCTGGGTATTCATAGAGGGTCAGAAGCCTGCAGGAGGCCCAGAGTCCTACAGCTCCTGGTCCCTGCTGTGTGGTGCCAAGAGAAGCCCGGAGGGGAACCCCTAGGAGGTTCCTGCTCCTCCCCTCCCAGCCTCCCACCTTGGCCTCACACAGACGGGCTGGCCCCAGGAAGTGGGGACTCCACTCCGTGTGGCTGGGACACTGAGGGGCTGTGGTCTCCTGTCTGACCTCAAATGGAGGGCCCCCTGTCCCCAACCCATGCTGAGAGAATGACTGGGGCTGGCCAGGCGGGAACCTGTGGTGTGCTGATGTGTGCATAGGGGGAGAGGAGAGGGGTGGGTTTGAGGCTGAGAGGCCCCGGACAGGGTTCTGTACTGCTCTGGAGAGTGTGACTGGCCCCCGCCCTGCTCTGGTTCAGCCGGGACAGAGTTCCAGCCTCCCTGGTCGCCAAGCCTCAGCATCCTGCTGCTCAGCCTTGCCACATGTATGAGTCCCACCACTCTTGCCGAACCCAACAATGTCCAGAGGCCCAACCCTGCTGTCCCCGCTGAAGGGGGCTTCCCAGCAGCATCCCTTTTTGTTGGAGCGGCCAAAATTCATGAGGTGGCCAAATTCCCAGGTTGGAGATCCAGGTGCTCATAAAATGAGGGGAGCCGAGAGCGGACCTAGCCCCTGGGACCTGCCCTGCCAAGGGTGACGGGAGGCCAGCAGGGCAGTCACACCGTGTGGCCCAAGTGTGAAACACCAAGAATCCTTTGTCAACCTGTGTGATGCACCTATGGGATGTGAAGTCCCAAACAGTCCAGAGAGAGAGGCTGTGGGGTGCAGAGGCTGCCCCTGGGGAACCTAGGGAAATGCCCGCTTCCTACTCAGAGACTTCTGTGGGTCTGGGGGCCTATTCGTGGGAACGTGTTCAGGTATTGCCGGCATAATTACGGCTACAACTAATCTTGAAGTTCAGAGTGGATTCCAGGTCTCAGAGCAGTTTCACATACAGTTCTGGGGGCTGGGCATCTCTGCCCCAGGGACTGCTCCCCTACGCCTCTGGGCTTGTCCCATAGGCACAGAGTGGCCTCACTTCCCCCCACCGTGTTCCCAAAGCATGAAGGGCACAGGCCATGCTTCACAGTCAGGTGGGCACAGACCCCATCCAGGCCCCTCATACCTGCTGGTCATCCTGGGAAGACCCTCTGGCCTTGATCTGTTTCCTCATCTTCAGGGTGTTTGGGGGGAATTTTAGGAGCAAAAATGAAAGGAGACAACCTTCTCCCTGACAGACCCCAAATTAATCATCTTTTCAAAAAGGCGATTCAATGAATGAAAAGTCAAGAATGTTAAGTCAGATTCAGTTCAAGTTGAAAGGGTTCAGGAACAAAGTCCCTTCTTTTCTTTTTTTCCTCTCTCTCTCTCTCTCCTCTCTTTTTCTTTCTTTCTTTTCTTTTTTTTTATACTAGAGATTGAACCCAGGGGCACTTAACCACTGAATGACATCCCCAGACCATTTTTTATTTTTTTTTATTTTGAGACAGATTCTTGATAAGTTGTTTAGGGCCTCACTAAGTTGCTGAGGCTGGCGATCCTCCTGCCTCAGCCTCTTGAGCCACTGTGATTACAAGCAAATACAATAAATAAATAAAAAGGTTTGGTGATGCAGCTCAGTGGTATAGTGCCCCTGAGTTCAATCCCCAGTACCAAAAAAAAAAAAAAAAAAGATATGAGGGGCTGAGGTTGTGGCTCAGCGGTAGAGCGCTCACCTAGCACGGGTGAGGCCCTGCGTTCAATCCTCAGCACCACATAAAAATGAATAAATAAATTAAAGATATTGTGTTCAACTACAACTAAAAAATAAATATTAAGAAAAGATATGAACTCAGTGCTGGGGTTGTGGCTCAATGGTACAGCGCGTGCCTAGCAAGCGCAAGGCCCTGGGTTCGATCCTCAGCACCACATAAAAAATAATTAAATTGTGTACAACTAAAAAATAAATTGTGTACAACTAAAAAATAAATTTAAAAAAAGAAAAGATATGAACTCATAATATCAAATTATTTAAGGTAAAAACTGTTTTTAAAACAGTGGGGAGACGGCTGGGCTTGTGGCTCAGTGGTAGAACACTTGCCTAGCACATGTAAGTCACTGGGTTTGATCCTCAGCACCACATAAAAATAGATAAATAAAATAAAGGTATTGTGTCCATCTACAACTTAAATTTTTTTTTTTTTTTTTTTTTTTTATGGGGGCCTGGCATGGTAGCACTTGCCTGTAGTCCCAGCTATCCAGGAGGCCAAGGGAAAATCATCTGAGTCACAGTTCAGGCCAGCCCGAGCAACACTGTAAGACCCTGTCTCAAAATAAAAACTAACAAGGGTCAGGGATGTAACTCAGTGACAACGTATCCGGGTTCAATCGCTAGAGGGCCAATAGGCCCCAGTAGGCCCCATACAGCAAAAAAGCAAAACTTGGCACAGTGAGAGGATCATTTGAACTCATAAATCTGAGACCCAGCTAGGCAACACAGCAAGACCCAAGCTGTTAAAGGAACAATGAAAATTTGTAAGAACTACACTGACTTCAGAAACTTTAACTCTTTGTGTCATCTCTCAATCAAAAAGTAACAGACAGGTGGAGGTAGTGGGTGCAGTGGTGCATACCTGGAATCCCCATTACTCATTACTCAGGAGGCTGAGGCAGGATTGTAAGTTCAAGGCCAGCCTCAGAAATTTAGGGAGGCCCTCTCTCAAAAAAAAAAAAAAAATGCTGGAGATGTGGCTCAGTGGTTAAGCACTCCTGGGTATCTTCAGTACAGAAAGAAAGAGAGAAGGAGAGAAAGAAAGAAAGAAAAAGTGACACAGAGCTAAGCACTCTGGTGCACACCTGCAATCCCAGTTAGTCAGGAGGCTGAGGCAGAAGAATGCAAGTTTGAGGCCAGTTTTGGTGAAGCCCTTGGCAACTCAGTGAGACCCTGTGTCAAAATAAAAATATAAATTAAAAAAAAAAAAGCTGGGGATGTGGCTAAGTGGTTAAGCACGCCTGGGTTCAATCCCTCATACCACTAAATAAATTATAAAAAAATAAATTTCAAAAACTGAGGATGAATGCCCCTGGGTCCAATTCCCAGTACTGCAAAGAAAAAAGGAAATTGGTAAACTTGACTTAGGAGCTATGAAAAGAAAAAAAATTGAGGTGTAACCTATATTTCCCACACTGATGAAATTTCTCTTCTTAACCACTCAGTCATCCAAGCCGAGATTCAGGGCCTGCCACAACCCCCACCCCCAACCCATTTAGGAAGCTCAAGTGAAAAGGTTCAGCCAAGGTCAGGCACAGAGACACTAATCCCACAGGCCTTTTGCTGTTCCTTGCCTTGTCCCCCACCCCCAGCTCAGTGTGGGCGCGAAGGAAGCGCCCAGTAAACATTAATGTCAAATGAGTAATTCTGCTTTGTCCCTCTAGGCGGCTGGCCTCCCTCTCCAGCCAAGGTAAGGGACCTTGTAATTGTGGCAGCGAGGCTGCAGGGTGGCCTCCCTGTCTCTGCTGCAGGGGTAAGCGCGATTCTTACCCCTGCGGGAATGGAGGCCCAGCGCAGGCTTGCATCCTTGGCTTGGCTCATGTGAATTATCCCAGCCCTGGCCCCGCTGGGCCACCCTCTCCCATAGAGGATGCTCCTGGGTTCCCACAGTCTCAGATAGCCCTGCCCCAGTGTTTGGCTAAAAGGCCAGGTGAGGTGCCTGGTATGTAGACAGAGCTCTGTGTCCCTAAAGATAACAAGTTATTACAGTGGCACCAACAGTGACAGGTGAGAGTGGCCTTGCCCCATCCCTCTGTACCACAAGAAGGGCTGTGCTGGCCTGGCTCCTCTCCAGATTTCTGGCCTTGCCATCCACCCACTCACACCCACAACCACCTCCCAGACCCACTTCTCCTTTGCAGCTGCCCCACCGCCTACACCTTCCTGCCACGGAGTTGCTGGCCCATGGGCAGGGGACAGAGAGGCAGTGGGCCAGGGCCCCTCAAGGCGGGCCCCCTGGGAGTTCTCTCCTGAGCTAGAAACCCAGGGACCAGCCTTGCTCCCCTCACACTAGGCTCATCCCCAGCCTGGACCATGACCCCTGGTCTCCTTGCTGCTCTGTCTACCTCCAACTCCAGCAGCCAGAGGAGAGGAGGGTCCTTCTAAATAGAGCACAGCCCTGAGAGGCCCCTACCCAACCCTCCTGCTCCTCATTGCAGGCCTGGTGCTGGGGGTCAGCCCATCCGTCCGCAGCCCAGGCCCTCCCTCCTTTCTCCCAGGGTTCCCCATAGCAGTACCATGCCTGTCTCCAGAACCCATGTCCCCTTAACCTCTCCAGGCCTTTCCCGTGCCATGGTCCCCATCTGCCAAGCTCGTTTCCCTCTCCCTTGTAGCTGCTACAGGTTTCCCTCCCCCACAAGCTCCCTCCTGGCCCCTGGAGAGAGACTCCTCCTTGTGCACTCTGTGCCCACCCCAGCCTGAGTGCTTGGGATCTGAATGGCACACCTGAACCTTGTGCTCCAGGTGAGCTGGGACCTCTCCAGGTACTCTCCAGCCCTTGCCTGGGGGAGGGAGCTCTTTGGGCTTGGTGGGGCACAAAGGTGAGAGCCTCCAGTCTGGGGAAGAGGAGTCAGGGTGGCCACAGGTTCCTCACTACCATGCAGATCTTACTGGGACACTCTGTGTGGCTCTCCGGTGTCCTCCAGCTGGGTCCAAGCAAGGCCCCTGCCTGGCTGTCTGGGCCGGGCACTCCTGGCCTTCCTGTTAGGCTTCCAGACCTTTGTTCACACCAGTCTCCAGTCTCCACACTGCCGCACTCCCTAGACCTCACTCGGTCTGCCACACCTCTCATCATCACCTCCCGCAAAACTTCCTGTTCCCTTCCATGGTAACCTGTGCTGGTGACCCTTGGGCCTGGCCCTGCACCCACTAACTCCTGCGCTGTCCTGGGCACCTGGTTGCTGGATCCCCGCTGCGGGCAAAGCCTCCAGAGAAGGCAGGGGACTGCGGGGGGTGGGGGTGGAGAACCAAGCCTGGCAGTTTGGACGTGCTTTGAGGCATGGTCTGTCTCCCTCCATCTCCCCCAAGTGGGAGCGCCACACAGCTGACTGGGGCCTGGTACAAGGTAGTCACTCCGGAGGGTTTGATGTCCCGGGAAGGGCAGAAGAGCAGTCAGGAGGGGGTGGTGGGAGCATCTGTGGCACCCGCTGGCTGACAGCAGGAGTCCCTTCCCTGGGCTGCCAAGGGCTAGCTTTGGTGTGACCCCCCGTGCCCGGCAGAGGGCCCACCCAGCTGGCGTCTGGGGTGATGGTTGAGTGGCTGACCGGAGGAAGCGCAGGTGAACGAGAAGGTTAGGGCGCGGGCCCTGGGGCCCCGGGGGCACGGTCCCACCACAGCCGTCCCACTCCAGCAGGCAGGGGCGGGCCGGAGGGTGGGGCCTCGGGTTTCCTCCCCAGGGGAGGGCCTGGCGGCTGAGCAGGGGACCCGTCCCTGCAGCTGGCGGAGGCCGGGCACCATGCGGCGCGGGGCCAGGAGCGTGCGGGGCAGGGACGGGCCGGCGCCCACGCCCTGCGTGCAGGCCCAGTGCTTCGACCCGCTGGTCCGCCTCTGCGTGGCCTGCCGGCTCTTCCGCACGCCCGAGCCTGGACGCGGTAAGGGGCGACCCCCGCAGCTCGCCTCGGGCACCCGGGGAGGGGCCGGGGGAGGGTCCCGCCGCAGGGCCCCCCACCCGGCCAGGCCCGGGGCGACGCGTCGAGGGCCCCGCGGGACCAGCGCGCACCGCGAGGCGCTCACCGCCCCTCTCTCTCCCGCCCCGTGTGCCCCAGCCTCGCCTCCCTCCGGCCTGCGCTCCCTCCCCTCGTTCCCCCGTCCTCTCTCCCCGTCCCCTCCGCACGCGCCAGCAGCGGGCCTGAGCAGCCAGGCGCCCGGGACGGCGCTGCAGCCGCAGGAGTCCGTGGGCGCCGGGGCCGAGGCCGTGCTGCCCCTGCCCGGGCTGCTCTTCGGCGCCCCCGCGCTGCTGGGCCTGGCGCTCGCCCTGGCCCTGGCCCTGGTGGCCCTGATGAGCTGGAGGTGGCAGCGGCGGCGCAGGACGGCCTCCCTAGAGGCCCCAGACGGAGGCCAGGAAGGTGAGTCCCATGTCTGGGAGAAGGGAAGGTACCGTCCTATGGAGCGGGTTACATGGGCTGGGGTGGGGCCTGTCTCTGGGTCATGGACCTTGGGAGCAGAGGAGGTGTGAACCCGTAGACAGTACTGTGACGGGTGTCCCAGACTGAGGGAGGGGAAGAGTTTGCTCCTGAGCAGGGACAGGCCCCAGCCCTGATCCAAGCAGGGGACAGCACTGCCCTGCAGACCCAAGGAGAAAGTCTCCCGGTGCAGGCCCGGTTCCTGGGAGCCTAGGGGGGCCCTGGGCCCATGTGAGGCTCTGTGGGCTGACCAGTCGGGGTTTCCCACCCATCACCCTCAGTCTGCATCCCACAGCTGGCCAGACCTCTGGACTCAGCCCTTCCTGTTCTGAGGGCCTGTCATGTGCCACCCCTCCAGGCCACAGTGGTGCTTCATCTACAGCGGGCTATCTCTCTGGGGACCGCTGTGACCCAATCCTGACACTCCATATCCCCTTGCTCCTGCCCACCCCAGAGGCCCTGGACAATGTCATCATCCCCTCGACAGAAACCCTGGATGCTTCAGCTCCCATCTGGTCTCCACCCAGAGAAGACCCAGGCAGCACCCCACCTGGCCACAGTGTCCCTGTGCCAGCCACAGAGCTGGGCTCCACTGAGCTGGTGACCACCAAGACCACTGGCCCTGAGCAACAATAGCAGTGGAGAGGACAGGAGGGGCCCCTGTCCTGCATCAGTGTCCCCCCGCCACAAGGGTTCAGAACTGAATTCAGCTCTTCACTCCAGCACCCACCTGACCTTTTCCTGGGAGCCAGACTGCTCCCCGCTGAACCCTAGAGACACTACAGTACAAAGTGTGTAGCCATTTGGAATTGTTTGTGTGTTTACTTTTTGCTTAAGACCATGCCAACTTTGACTGTTCTTAAAGGTCCTCTCTGCTCCAGTGCTTTTGAATGACTAGCTCTGCTGGTTTTGGATATGGTTTGAATGTGTCCCCCAAAGCTCCATGTGTTGAAATTTAATTCCCATCATGAGATATTATTAAGGGGATGAAAACTTAATCTGATTGTGGCATTTAGAGGTGGGGCCTTTGGGACGTGATTAGGATTAGACAAGGTCATCTGGGTGACCATCATGATTGAACTTTCATGGCTTTATAAGAGAGAGACTAGAAGAAACACACAATATATACTTCTTGTCCTTTGCCTTGTGATGCCCTCTGCCACCTTGTATTTCAGCCAGCAAGAAGGTCATCATTAGATATGATTAGGCCTCCAGAACTGTGAGCTAAGTAACCCATTTTCTTAAAGTTTCCTAGCTTCAGGTATTTTGTTATAATAATGCAAATCCAACAAATACAGGTACTATGAATAAGAGATCTTTTCCTTTACAATAGGGAAGGGACCATTAAGCCAAATGAATCTGAAGAGAAGACCCAAGTGGGAGGATGCTTAATTTGTAGCCAGGGTTGTATTTCTTTAACACTTGCTCTCAGAATTATTCTGCTTTTAAACTGACGCAAGTGGCAGCAATGAGTAACCAGCTGATGGTTTCACTTTGGGATTTAGTGCAAGATTATTTTTAATTTTTTTTTTGGTGTGTGTATGTGTGGTATTGGGGTTGGAACCCAGACCTCACGCATACTAGGTAAATGCTGTACCACTGAGCTACAGCCCGCTCTCAAGATTATTTTTTAGAAATAACCAGGAAGCTGGGCGCGTGACACACAGCTGTAATCCCAGCGGCTTGGGAGGCTGAGGCAGGAGAATCACGAGTTCACAGCCAGTCTCAGCAATGGCGAGGCACTAAGCAACTCAGCACCCTGTCTCTAAATAAAATTCAAAATAGAGCTGGGATGTGGCTCAGTGGTTGAGCGTCCCTGGCTTTAATCCCTAGTACCCCCCCCCAAAAAAATTGTGCATAATTGTGCTGATTCTTGAGTATCTACATCCCAGCATCAACCCAGGCTTGGCCTAATCTGCTAGAACCTAAGTTACCATTTCTACCATGGTGGCAGCTTCTAGAGCTACAGCCCACACCCAGGAGGGTCTACAGCCTCCAGAATTAGACTCCAAGATCAAGCTGAGGGACACCGTGTCAGGAAGCTCTCTCTGGCTGCCCAGGACCCAGCTGACTCCCAAGTAAGGCATAGTCAGCTTGCTCAGGGCCCAGCCCAGGGCCTACAGGAGACACCTTCATACACAGGTCAGGGCAGTCCTGTGGCTTTGAACCAGATGGATGGACCTGAGATCCCTAGAATGCCTTTCCCTCTGTGGCCTGTCCTCCCTTCTCGCTCTGGTCCAGGCCCAAGAGCTGGGCTCATCTTGTGGGCTCCTGGACCACATTGTACACTCACAGCTAGCCATCTCCTCTCCTGCCTGCCCTCCTACAAGAGAGTGAACCTGAACATCACCCCTGCCCGGGAAAACTACCTGGGAACTTGTTGCAACTTAGCACTTTTGGAAGGAGCACTGGACTAGGAGTCAGAAGGTGGAGTCCTGGGTGTTTTTGCCTTTGTAGGACCCTGGCCATTTTCTTTTCCATGCACCAGAGGTTTGCTGCCTGCCTGCCCCTGAACTGCCCACCAGAGCTGCCTTGCAGACCCTGCCCCTCCCACCCACTGCTTTCCCAGCTCAGAAGACAATGGATAGTGGCATTTGGAGCCCCAGGACCTGGACATTCATATCCTAATCTCTGCCCAGTATTCCCTCCCTGAACCCATTTTAGATACCAGTACTCCTAGGAAGTCAGGTGACTGGAGACATCAGATGGCAAACAGTGAGTGGCAGAGTGTGGGCCAAGCCATTACACTCCCCTCCATCCAGGGCCTGGGGAGTCTGAGCTGTTCCTGGCCACCCCGTTCTCCCACCCCACCTTCACCACTACAGTCAGGGTCTAGGCTCTGAAGGTGAAAAGGGTGAGTGAATCCCCCCTGGGGCCCAGACATGCAAACCTTTGGCACCTCTGAGTCCCAGTTGAACCCCAGCTAGTGTGTAGTTTCCCCTCAGATCTCAGTTTCCTCTAATGAGACACGAGGGACTGGGTACAACATTCTCTTCCCAGCCTGTGTTCCCAGAGGACTGGAAGGAATCGTAAGAGAATTCTCACATATATCCCCATTTCGTAGATAAGAAAACTGAGGTCCAGAGAGAGTCATTGTCATTAGCACCTAATAGAAGGGAAGTTCCTTGGGGAAGAAATAGGAGAGACCAGTGGAGGGGCAAACAAAGACGGGCATAGTGTCACCGCCCTGAAAGGGCCTAGACAAGGAGATCAGCCTCCTGACCTCTGGGGGGGAGAGTCCCAGAGGACAATCCAGGGTGGGGTCTATGGAGAAGTGACCTGTATCCAGCAACACCAGCCTTTATATGACATATTGTTCTACATAACTGCAGTCATTTTATACATAAACAATCGCATCTTGTTCCATCATATGTAGTAAGTTTCTCTGTCATGAAACACTTCCCAATAAGGCTTTCAACACTTGTCAAGTTTTCCACCTGAGTATTTCTTTATTTTCTGGTTTTGCTATTGTAACTGAAGCACTGAGCACCTTCTTGTGCATAAATCTTTGCATTAGTCTGACTTTTCCAGGACAGTGGAATAAAGGCCTTGACCTTTTAAAGGCCTCTGTTGGCGGAGTTGCTTCCTGAAAAATCTGAACCATTTCACAATCCAAGAGTGAGGATTGTGCTGTCTATTTTGCAGGTAGGAAAAAGAGAGGCTCAGAGGGGTAAAGGATTGGTCCAAGATGAAAACTGCAATTAGATGAGTGTGGTGGTGCTACTTGGGAGGCTGAGGCAGGAATCAAAAATTGGAAGACAGTCTTGGAAATTTATGGAGACCTCTTCTCAAAACAAAACAAAAGTTAGAAAAGGGGCTGAGGGTGTAGCTCAGTGGTTGAGTGTTTTCCTAGCATGTGGGTACAATCCCTTGTACCACACACACACACACACACACACACACACACAAAGCAACAATAACACACACACAAATAATCAAAGCAAACAACTCCCCACCCCACCCCCTACAATTTTGGTGGGCTGGGTTAGAACAGAGCTGAAGGTAACCAGACCCAGGCTCCCTCCTTAGGAGTGACCAGTTCCAGATTTTGACACCAGGCCTCACCTCTTGTTTTTATAACTATTCAAAGACTTTTCTCCCTCATTTTGCAGTAAGAGGGATCCAAGATACACTCTGGAAAGACCACTTGTTGAGGTGGGAACACAGAAGCAGTCTGGCCACCCTAGCCTGTTTCTGGCCATTTTTTCCTAAAGGGGGCCTGGTTTCCACAAGGCCTTCAGGGTCTAGCAAGTGCAGGCAGGGCAGGCTTAAGTCTCGGTTCCTCCTGGGGCTTCCTGCAGGCCCCTTTCACTTCCTGCCTGGCAGCCAAGGGCTGGGGGCTTAAGGTGGGGGTAGGGAAGCCCAGCTGGTGCAGCCATAGAGGAAGGTCTGACCCCTCACCTCGTGCCTCATTAGTGATGGCCCAACATAGCACTGTCCTTAGAAGCTAGTGCCATCTTTCTGGGCCTGTCTCTGCATCTACAAAATGAGACTCCTGAGGACCACCTGGCTCAAAAAGAGGAAATGTTGCATGTAGGCCAGGGTCAGGGAATGCCACCAGCTTGGGGAAAGGAAGAATTGGAGTTCAACAGGAACAAATGCCCAGGGTCGCGGGGAGAATCCGGGAGGGCCTTGGAGGAAATGTCCTCAGCCTATGCGGTTTCCTCGTGGGACTCTGCAGACGGCAGCGCTGAGGAGTGGCGGTGACTGATGGTTGTACAGGAGTCCCCCAACCCAGGGGAGCCCTGAGCATCTCCTCCACTTTCATAAACTGCAGAGAATCTGGGATCCAACCCCTGACCCAGGACGGTGCAGCGAATCTAGGGCAGGCGAAAGTCTATCTGTACGGCTCCTGCGGTCAGCTTCACGGGTGGCACTTTGACCACCATCCGCGGTCACCGGAAGGGGGTTTAGAACAGGGTGGGTGGGGCCAGAACCAGCCGCGCGGCTGGGGCCGGAGTCAAGAATAGGCTGTGCAGCAGGACTCTCGCTTCAAGGTAGCCGGAAATGGGCGGGGTCAAGGCCCAGGGCCGAGAAAAAAGGGAGGGACCGATGATGGGCAGGACCAAGACTGCAGGCACCTGCTTGTAGCCCTTGACCTCTGACTACGCAGGGTCAGAGTCTTAGCGTAGAGAACTGCAGCGGGAGTGGGGAGGTCCCGGATGCGACCACTACCCCAAACTTTCGGGCCAGGTGTGGGGGAGGGGGCGAACGACGCTGGTGACCTGGGGGGTTGTGCCCCAGCAGGAGGGCTGGCGTGGGGAGGGCGCCAGTGACTTGGTGGACGCGCGGCGCGACCTCGCCGAGCCCCGTCCAGTCTGCATTCCCGCGCCGAGGTCCTGATGGCCAGCTCCAGCCCTGCCCGCTCACTGGGAACTTTAGAGGAGCCTTATGGAGAGTAACGGGGTGGGGGCAGCCCAGGGATTTCCTGGGACTCCCAAGGCAGGGTGGATTGTGGCCGGGAGAGGTGCCTGGGAATGCGACGGGAGGCTGAGACTCCGCTCCCAGCCCCCCAATCCCGCCGCTCTCTCGAGACCTCAGGAGCTCGGGCGCCCCTCCCTCCCTCCCACGGGCAGCTGGAGCCTGAGTCACGAACTGCCTCTCAGGAGACAAAGGCAACCGTGGGCCCTCCCGCCAGACCCACTCCTGGTGCCTGCATTTGCTCTAGCAGGGCGTCTTGGTCCCCAGAATCCCTGCTTCTTGGGTAAGCCTCCATCACAGAGGAAATGGAAGAAAGTGAGTTGAGGAATGAGACCCTTCTTGCATCCCAGCGGCATCCACTGTCACAATCTCATCTTCTGCATTGGGGGTTCTCTTAAGGCCATGTTTACCCGGGTGTTTCCCTGTCTAGTGTCCATTGCCCTCTCCCTGCAGCCCTGCCAAAGGGTCACTAGCAGCCCATCTTGCAGATGAGAAAGCTGAGACCTAGAAAGGTGGTATGGCCCTAGTGGAGCAAAAATCCCAACCTGGTCAGTCAGGCTCCACCATGAAGGATGAGCAGCTCTCAGTGTGAGGGTCTGGAGGGGCATTTCAGGAAGAGAACAGCTGCTCAAAAAGCCAGGGGCCTCCTGCGGTGGCCAAGGCCTGTGCACTGGGGGTGTGGGAAACACTCCTCTGGTGCAGTCAGGGCCCTCCAGCTGCTATCTTTTACCAAACTGGCCAGAAAGTAGGATTGGGACTCAGTGCAGGTCACAGGCCAGATTCTGGCTCTTCCTGGCTGTGTGCCAGTCCCAACAAGTCACTTCCCCTCTCTGGTTCTTGGGTTTCTCTCTAGGAAATCCCAAACCTTCTCCCCCAGGGCTGGGAAGAACTGGCAGACTGGACCTCGGAATGGGCTTTCCCTACTGTCCCTAATGTCAGGACCCCCTCTCTCAGGACTCCCAGTACCCCACAACCAGAGCCAGGCAGGGAGGGAAGAACACGTGTGCCCGGGCACATTCACATGAACACACAGGTGCACATGTGTGTTGATGGTGCAAGGAAGGCCCTCGGGTAGTCACACCAGCCCCCTCCCCACATACTTTCATCCATGAGCACACTCAGACACCCGCACAGTCAAGCTGCCAGCACTGGGAGCTGGGGGCGGGGCAGGTGCCCTTCAGGCGCAGAGACTCAGCTCCTCTGCCCGCCCCGCGGGGCTCACTGCAGATGCCAGGGGTTATTTTAAGCTTGGATCAATGGACGATTTTTGGTGACACAGGCTTGGGGGGGCTGGCAAAAGAGACAAGGGGCAGGTGCCCTTAAGTTGTGCCATGATCCCTGAGTCCAGGGCAAAGGGGTCACTCCTCAGTTGGGCTGCACCATCTCTAGATCCCCTTGCTTGGCCCATGGCCTGGTACCTGGGGGGGCAGCATCAGCTGCCTGCAGGTTCTGCCTTAAGGATAGTGACGGGGTGGGGGCCGGCCCAGGGATTTCCTGGGACTCCCAAGGCAGGGTAGGTTGTGGACGGGGAGAAGTGCCTGGGAATGCGATGGGAGGCTGAGACTCCGCTCCCAGCCCCCCAAGAACTCTGCCAGTCAACCAGGCAATGTCTTTGGGGTTTGACCTTCCTGCTCCCCCCTGACTCCCCAAGGCACTGAAGAGGGAGGGCACTAAGTGCCTGGCACAGACCTGGTTAGATGTGGGCACCTGTAGTTGATGACTGACCACAGAATCCAGAGAATCAGATTAGGATGGGGAGAAAGCTGTGTGTATGTGTGTTGGGGTGGGGTCAGACTTCAGTCCCTGGGTGGCTGGAGGGCAGGAATCCAGCTCCTTCATCAGACAAGTGGCTGTCACTATATACAGATATTTGCAGAACCTGATCAGAGTCAACATCGGGTGGATGCTAAGAAGATCCAGTGCTAGGACAATGGGGGCAAGAGGGATCCATGAGATGACAGGGAGAGCCTTGGGATATTTTCTCTGGACCCAATAGGGTCACCCTTCCTAGAAAGAGCCAAAGTTCCAAGGGGCAGAGACAAGCCTCTTCAAACCCAGTGCCCAGCAATGCGGGAGCAGGGGCAGCATTGTCCCCAGAGCCTCTGCAACCTGGAGGGCAGCTCAGTAGCATGTGGCAGGAGCGTTAATACAGAGCAATTAGTGCCACTGTTCCCATTTCTAGGAAAACCCTGTAAGAAAAGGATGCTCTAGAAAGCACAGCTACGAAGTTCTGAACAGAATAACAAAAAGTTGAAGGACAGTAAAGAGCAAACTAAAAAGCAGTTACAAAATAGGATGTAAAGTGTGACATATTTTAGCTGTTTTCTGGTGATGGGATTAAAGCAGGTTTGCTTCATTTCTTGCTCCTCTGTTTTGTTTCTTCTAAAATTATAATAAGGAAAGTCTTAATGAGGGTGGGGTCTCTAGGGCTGAGTAGGATGTGTGTGTGGTGTGGAGGGAGGGGGCAGTTGTCTTCAGTCTGGGCAGAAGGAGACATTCTGAGCACAAGGCCACCCTCCTTCCTGCCTTAGCCCACTAATACCTGAAATTAGCCTGTCAGACCCTCATCTCAGGCAGCAGAAGGATGATCCTCCTTAAAATGTAAATCCTTCCTCCTCTTCCCCACCTTCTTCACTTTCATAAGCTGATCCTGGCCATGAAGGGAGATGGAAAGGAGAGTAGAATGGACCCTCAGATGCCCAAATTCTTCATCTTACTGAAACAAGAGGGTAGAGACATTTCATCCCGCATTCAGTCATTCAGCAAATACTGACAGAGGCCTGAGCTGTGTGGGGCACACAGGGTGAGTTGCACACCCAGTCCTTGTCCTCTCTGTGTTTCAGAATGTCTTCCAGGAAGAATTGTTTTTGGTTTTGTTGTTTTGCTTTTGAGGCTGGGTCCCCTTCCTGACGCTTCCCCCTCCATCCTTCCCCTGGCCTGGGAAAGGACCTGAGAGTCCTACTGGAGTTGCCAGGTTCCACTGGCTCTGACTCCCAGTGGGCCCAGCCCTCCTCTCCCAAGGCAGAGGTTGGCCCAGTGTCTTCCCCATCCCACCTCGGAAGCGGGGAAGACCACAGGAGGACTCTAGGCAGGCCATCCCCAACACTGAGGAACCCAGCCAAGCATCCAGCAGGTTCTGGAACCGGGGCCACAGAGGAGACCCAGACATGCCCCTCCGCCGCAGTTCGCTGGGATATTCCTTCCCTTTGTATTGAGGGCGGGGGGATCAAGGCTTACAGAGGGGAAGGGACCTTCTTCCTGTCACAATTAGAACTGACAGAGGGGGACCGAAAGGAGGCGGTGTCGTGCGCCGACCCTCCCGGGGCTCTTCAGGGCTGCTCTGATCTCTGCCTCAGTCCCCGCACCTGTAAAATCGAGTCGGCGGTCGCGGGCGCGATGTCCGAGGTAACAGTCCTGGGAGCCTTAAGCTGAGCCTCTTCGGGCACCCGAATATCAGAGGAATATTTTTGGGAGGTCTTGGGAAGGGGCCCGGTGGGAGCCCGGGTGCGCGGCCCCGCCGCGCCCTTCCCTCGGGTCGCAGCGGCCGCGCTCCGCCCCCGGCTCGCGCTGCCCCCGCCCTCCGCCCGCGCTCGCTCCCCCGCCCGCCAGAGCCCGCGCCGAGCGGGAGCCGGAGCCCGAGCCAGAGCGCGGGCAGCGCGGAGCGGGCGGCGGGCAGGCAGCAGTGTCCGGCGGTCCGCAGTCCCCGCTCGCTCCAGGACCCGCACAGCCACAGGGCAGGGGACAAGTCGCAGCCCGCGCGCAGGGGAGCGCCCGCCGCCCCGCCCGGGGGCCGGAATCCCAGGGCGCGCCCTGGCCGGCTCGGGTCCGAGGTGAGCCCGGAGAAGGACGCGCCCACTGGAGGTACATCCCGCGAGCTCCTGACTGAGCCCACCTGGCCCTGGGTCCTTAGAGGACGCCGACAGCCGAGGAGGCTTCCGCTCGGAGCCAGCGCGGGAACAGCGGCGCGGCGCTATCCCGAGGGTCGGAGGAGCCCGGCTGGAGGGAGCCGCGGCGCCCGGCCATGCGCTGGGCGCAGTAGCAGGAGACGCGGACCCAATGGAGCGGGCCGGGGCGCGGGGACTGCCTGGAGGCCGCCGTCCAGCCGGGCTGCGGCTCGCGCTCGCGCTCTGGCTGGCCCTACTACTAGCGCGGACGCCGTCGAGCCGCGCTGGGGCCCCCGAGGCGCAGGAGCCCGTGGCTCCGAGCGCAGCGGCCCCGACTGGCGGCGACCGCTGCCGCGGCTACTACGACGTGATGGGCCAGTGGGACCCGCCGTTCAACTGCAGCTCCGGCGCCTACAGCTTCTGCTGCGGCACGTGCGGCTACCGCTTCTGCTGCCACGACGGGCCGCGGCGTCTTGACCAGAGCCGCTGCTCCAACTACGACACACCAGCCTGGGTGCAGACTGGCCGGCCGCCTGCTCGCGCCCGCGATACCGCGGCGCCCCGGGACCCGGCCCGCGAGCGCAGCCACACGGCTGTCTACGCTGTGTGCGGTGTCGCCGCGCTGCTAGTGCTGGCCGGCATCGGGGCGCGCCTGGGCCTGGAGAGGGCGCACAGCCCGCGCGCACGGCGCACGGTGACCAGGTGAGCGCGCCGGCCACCCCTCCCCAGCCCATTCTGCCCGGAGGCCACTCCCTGGCGCCTCCATCCTTTTTGCCCCTCTGGTCCTCTCAACAGCGCCCTTCTTCTGGCTTATTCCCTTCTCTCTCTCCCCATGCCCCCACGTCACTGAGGAGATAACCTGATACTGCTCTGTCTCCCCTTGACCTTCCTGTCTGTGCCAGGCGCTGGGTTGCCCTTCCCGCAGTTCCAGCCTCTGGAGAGGGCATAAGACCCATACCCAGCGAGGTGGCAGGGAGCCAAACCTCACTTGCCGGGCAGGGGACAGGATTGTAGTTCTATTGAGAGTCTTGGCAGAGGGAAGAGAAGGGGAGCTTGGCTTCTTCCTTCCTGCTTCTCCCATTTTCCCTCTCTTTTTCCACTTCTCATCCATCTCTTCACCCCCCAGCTGGGACTCAGGCCTGACCTTCCTGGGGTTTAGAAGCCTCAGCTTGCCCCTTTCGCTAGCCCCTAGATGAACGTCAAGGTCTCCCTCAATATAAAAAGGAGACCGAAGGCCAGGCATGGTGGCTCAGTTCTGTAGTCCCAGCACCTCAGGAAGCTGAGGCAGGGGATTGCAAGTTGGCCTTCACAATTTAGCAAGACCCTGTCTCAAAATTTAAAAAATAAAATAAAAAGGACTGGGGGTGTAACTCAGAGGGTAGATGTAGCTCAGAGGTAGAGCCCTGCTTGGCTAACTCCTTGGTACAGTTCAGAAAAACAAGAGACAGAAGAAGGGAACAGACTTGTGTTTGGAGGACAGGCCAGATGGTGAGTTCTGAGCTTAGTTGGGGTGGGGCCTACTGCACCCAGGTTCTCTTCCTCACTGGATGGTATCAATGGGAATCTCAGTGTCCTGACCCTGGAATTTCCCACTCCACCCCTCACTTTTTTTTTTTTTTGGTCGGGTACCAGGAATTGAACTCAGGGGCACTTGACCACTGAGCCACATCCCCAGCCCTATTTTGTATCTTATTTAGAGACAGCATCTCACTAAGTTGCTTAGTGCCTCGCCATTGCTGAGGCTGGGTTTGAACTTGCAACCCTCCTGTCTCAGCCTCCTGAGCTGCTAGAATTATAGGCATGTGCCATCGCGCCTGGCTTCCACCCCTCACTTATACTCACCTGAACCTAGCAGCCTCCACTGCCTGCCTGTGCCCTCATCCATCCAAGTCCCAGTTAGGCATGTGGACTGCTCACATCATACAACAGGCTAGAATTCAGAAGTGACAATAGAGAGAATACCCCATGATCTGATGGGACTGATGTGGATGCCTCACCTCCTGGGCCTCAGGCAGGGTATGAGGCCTTTCTTGCTGCTGCCCAGGCCACTTAATCCACGCACTCCTAGACAGCTATAGGGCACAACTGGGACTGGGGCCTTGGCCTTCCTCCTCAACTATTGTGCTGCCTTGGGGATGTGGTCTTTGGCTGGATCCTGTATGTTGCAGGGTCTGGAGCTTGGCCTCCTGAGTTTGGTGTCCCTCATGCTGGGCAAAGGTAGCAGCAGAGAGGACAGGGCATGTCCTTGAGGAGGGACAGTGGAAGCTGAGGGCCATGATGGCGTAGGAGGGTGCTGGGGCAGCCTCACTGACATGTTCACCTGGAATTTTTTCATCTGCAGGTTTGGTTAGCCTCAGCCAAGCCCCTTCCCTTCTGTGGGTGCCCTGACTCTCTTTTTTTTTCCCTTGGGGAGTCCTTGAATAGGACTTGGGCTCATGAGTGCTTGTGTTCTGAACCTGTGTCAAAGCCTCACCCTTAATTCTGCCTTGGTGGGGCTGATGGCTGGGAAAGGCTTCTCATAGAGCTTGGAGGGGTACTGGAACCATCCCTTGGAGAAAGTTTATGCAAAGGCCAGGAGGCAGGATGAGTGCTTGGTTGCAGGGAGAGCTGGATTAGAGGTTCTTGCACAGAGATGACCCCACAGAAGTGAGGCACTGAGGAGAGGGCAGGGCAGGAAGTTTGGTCCAGGCTGGTACTAGACACTTTCAGGCCCTGCCACACTGCAGTCAACCCTTGGTCACCCCAGGTGTCCTCATGTGCCTCTTCATGAATCAACTATAGCCCCAGTCCCAGAAGGAGGGTGGGGCGGAGTGGGAGAAAATCATGGGTTCGGGTGCTTGCAGGCAGCTGGGCTGAAGCTGGCTGTGGGGAAGGCTGTCAGACACTGTCACAGCTGGGTGGGGGCTGGGTGTCTTGGGTACCCAGGGAGATGCCTGCCCAAGGTCACAGAGCCTTTGGGTGCCAGGCTGCCAATGGAGGCTCTCCTGACTCCCCCTACCACCGTCATGATCTTTCCTCCCCTGTGCTGACCACTGAGCCTCATGTCCTGGCAGAAGCCCCTGCTGCAGGAGGGGAGGTGGGCAGGTAAAGAAGGTCTCTTGGAGCAGGAGGGACTCATGGGGCTTGAAGAATGAATAGGTGTTTAACAGGAGGAGATGGAGAAAAGGATATTGCAGGCAGAAGGAACTTGTGTTGGGACAGTGGGCTCAACTGGGGAGGGTCTTAGAAAGCAGGCTCCAGGGAGGGGAAAGAAGGGAGCCTCTGAAAACAAGATGGCCCTGGTTACAGTGACCCCGTCAGAGTTTTTTGACCCCTGGGGGGTGGTCATCTTGGGGGCATAAGTGAGGCAAACAGGTAGTGCCTGGTTGGCATTTGAGGTCAGTCATAGGAGAAAGGGAGGGAGGCCCAGGGAAGTTGAACAAAGTGCCCAAGGCCACACAGTGAGACTGTGGTTGCCAGGGCTGGCTTTTCATAGGTCAGAATCTGGCTGACTGGGGGATTGAGAGGGCCACCCCTCACTACCTTGTCCCTACAGGACACTGACAGAACTTCTGAAGCAACCCGGCCCCCAGGAACCACTGCCTCCACCTTTGGGCCCACCCCTGGGTAGCTGTGTCCAGGTGCAGATGGGAGATGGCCTTCCCCGAGGGTCCCCCCACAACAGCACAGGTGAGTAGGCTGTGGGCCAATACTGGCTAATTTCCAGGGGGCATCGGTGCGGTGGGTGTGGTCGGGAAGGGATATACAGAGGGGCAGGAGCTGGGCGCTTGACTGGGGAAGGGAGGCTCCTAGTTGCTGCTTCCCCTTGGAAACGAGCTGCCTGCCTCTGCAGGTGTGTGAGTGCTGCTGGACAGGCCAGTCACCTGCCCTTGGTGGAGAGGGACCCTCCTACAACTTAAGTCTCAGAGACTGTGATTCTGTGATGAAGGCTCCAGATTGAGGATTTGCTGGCTGGGGCTGTGGTTCTCAGGCTCTGGCTCTGTGCCCTGGGGTCTGGAGCCTCTCTCAGCCTCTCACTAGGGAGGCAGCACTTGGCAGGCCCCGCTACCCCAAGTAGGTTCCATCTCCGCGGGGAGCTGGTCCTGGGACTCAGCACCTGGCTCTAGCCTAACGTGCTGGCGAGTCGTCCATTAGGGTAGCACCCTTCGGGGCTGGCTGCCATTGATGGCTTTCTGAGTCAGGCCCCGTTCCAGGAGCTGGACATTCTGCTGGGAAGGGAAGACAGGCTCCGATTGCCCGGAGAGCGATTCCCAGGGTTCTACTGAGCTGCATTTGGGGAGGGGGCCCGAGAAGCGGCGGTGGCGCAGGTGGAGCGCGCGGGTTGGCGCAGAGCCTCGCCTTACTTCCCCGGCCCTTTCCCAGACAAGAAACGCCTCAACAACGCCGCCCTGGGGTCCGCCACGCCCGCGCCCCCGCGCCGACCCCGGTTGCAAGGAGGCGGCAACTTGACGCTGCAGCCCGACTACGCCAAGTACGCCACGCTCAAGGCGGCCGCGCTCAAGGCGGCAGGTGAGTGGCCCGATGCTTGCGGCGGCCGCCAGAGCCCCGGGTTCCCCGAGTTTCTTTACCGCAAGACTCGGCTCCCCGCGCAGAGTTGCGGGGTTCCCAGCCAGTCTGGCTCGGCCAATCCGCGCTCGGGACGCCCCCACGCAGCCAATCGGCTGCCCCCTCGGCCTATCACTGACCCCGCCCCTGGCCAGCCACGGGGCTGGGACCCCTTACGCCGGCCGGATTCCCGGGCTCCCGGAGCCCGCGCCGCGCAGCCTGACGGGTCCCGCACTGTCCCCGCAGAGGCCGCCCCCCAGGACTTCTACCAGCGTTTTCCCACCGCCGAGTCGGCCCCGCGGACCCTCCCGGCGCGGGCCCCGAGGCCTCCCGAGGACTTGCCCGCGCTGCTCGAGGCCTGCCCCTGGGCCCCCCCGGGCTACGCGGCCCCTACCGGCCCCGCTCCGCCGGGGCCCTACGCAGCCTGGACCGCCGGGCGCCCGGCCAGGCCCGCCCCCCGCGGCCACCTAGCGGCCCATGCCTCTCCTGCACCCCGGAGGCCCGGCCACGCGCCGCGGCGCCAGTTCAGCGTGGAGAAGCTGCCCGAGGCCTTCAGCGTGCAGCACCCAGGCCTTTACTGTAGTGCGGGCCGCGGACCCCGGCACCTGAGCACCAACAGCAAAACCGAGGTCACCGTGTGAAGCTGGGCCACCCAACGGAGGCAGAGCCGGAAGCCCTCGACTGCTTGGTCCAGGGCCCCAGGGCACGGAGGAGCCCAACGCGGGCATCCACCGAGACTAGGCTGGGGGCCTTGGAGCCTGCAGGGCTGAAAAAAGACCTACTGGTATGACCGGTGGTTCCATCCTTGGGTCCACAGGCCCCGGATTCCTCGTGTAAATAAATCCTTTAATGTGGTTCCTGCTGATGGCAGCATCAGTCATTGAATAGACAGCAGTGCTGGCAAAGGGCAGAGCAGAGGATCACTGGTAGACTGGTGGGCAGCTGTGCTGGGAGCCAGGGAGAAGTGGCTGGAGAGGGTGGCCAGGGCTGAATGCCAGGCTTAAGACCCACACCAGTCAGAGTCATGGGAGGGAGGCAGTTACACCTCAGTCATCTTAAGTTCCGGGCACAGGGAGAGAGCTGTTGGGCTCTCTGGGGAATCTGTGCCTTTTACTGGAGGTGAGCCCCCCAGCTGGTCACCTGCTCTAACAGCTTGACTTGGCAAAACTTGGCTGATCCTCACTGACATTGTCTGGCTCTGGGCCAGCCCCTGGCCTGAGAGCTGCTTGACAAGATTGGCCTAGGGCCACTCCCGTAATGGTGGCGGGCCATGCCTACATCTGGTATTCAGGATAGAGGTGCCTTCTCCCAGGAGCTGCTCTGGGATAGATGCTGGAGCAGGAGACTGGCAATGCCCCCCCCCCCCTCAAAGGGCACATGCTTGGCACTGCCAGCTCTCCTCCTTCCTGCCAGGAGGGCTCCTCGTACCTGGCTATGGCCCAGGCGTTGCTAGCAGCCTGTGTGTATCTTTCCCAAGTTCCTTGGTGCCAGGTACTGTTGTAGGGGTAGTACTGCACTACAGCCAGTTGAGGTGTGTGATCCCTACAGACACCCAGTTGAGTATTTCCCTCCTGTGTTCCCCGGGGGTATACTGTTTGAGCCCCATAGGGGTATATTTTACAGACAAGGAAATTGAGGTCTTGGGACCTAAATAAGGTTTGCCACGGTGGTCTGCTGGTGGGAAGGCAAGTGCAGGCAGTGTGGGGAACATGTGTATTAGAGGTGAGGGGCGCCTGCCCCAGGGCCTAGAAGTTCCAGGACAGAGTCCAGAGCCCATGGTCCTGCCAGCAGTAAGGATCTCCAGGCCTGTGGGGGGCGGGGGGGGGGGGCAGGTGCTGAGTCATGGAACCTGCTGAGACTCACAAAAGGCTCAGGTTCCTGAGCACACAGGCCACCCACCATGGTGACACAGGCCCTGGCTGGGCTGTGCTGGGAGGCAGGCACAATCCTTCCCCCTCATTCTCAGTCTCAAGGAGCCTCTATCTCCATCCTGCTAGAGTCAGGCTACAGCTGTTGGCAGTGACCACTACTGGATATGCTGACCCTGTAACTCTGGACAGGACCTGCTGCAGCTGGACCCTCCTGGCTGCTGTACTCCTTTAGACAGTGTGGCTTGCTGCGATTGCCCTTCAGGAAGGGTGTGGCTTATAGCTGTTTCTTAGGTCAGGGGAACAGGGCCCAGCTGTGGACTGCAGTTCAGCTCCAGGCTCATTTCCACGACTTCCCTGACTCCACCTTCAAGATCCAATCCATCTATCCCAATGCTTCTCGTGGCCTTGGCCCTGGCCTCTCACTGGTCTGGCACAAGGTATGATGTGTTATGTCATTCAAACCTGGCCCACAAGCTTATGGGACTACTGAAGGCAGGGATGGGCAACCCTTTTCTCTACCCATGGAAGTGGAGGTTGAGAGGCCAGTTCCCTCCTTAGGTGGACCCACTACTGGACCCAGCTGAGAAGTGCAGGAGCTGGACTCAGGTCTGACTTGCAGGCCAGTGAGCCATTTCAGAGGGCCACTGCCTTCAGGGAAGGGCAAACAAAGGAGGGGCCTATTCATTGGGAACCCCCCGCCTCCAGGTCCCAAAGAACTGTTGTCAGCCAACCCAGCTGTACATCCAGGGTACCTGGATACAGTGACCCCAGCAATACTTCCCAGAACCCTTTTATCCCAGGCCTTGGACCATTCTTAGAGCATATACCAGGCTCTGGAAGAAAGGGGACAGGCATGCTGGCAGGCAAGGAAGGCCGTCGACTGGAGATACCAAGCTGGCCTTCTTCCCTGGCCCACTGTCAGCCGAGCTATGCAGCCACTTGGCAGTCATTAAGCAGTCACACTACAGACCCTCACACACCTTGTGCTAGGTGGTACCAATCTGTGTTTATTGAATAACCTAGGTCCAGGACATGGTGAATGATTTGACATCAAGGAAGCCATAGGTGTATCCCCCTTTTCAGTGAAAAACAAACCCCTCCCACCCCTAACAATGAGAAAAGGCACAGTATATACACATGACACAAAGGCCCAGCTGCCCAAGTGGGCAGGGTCCATAAATTATAGTGACAGTGGGGGAAGGGCAGGAGATAGAAAGGGGGCTGGGGTCCAAGCATATGAGGGGCCCTGCTGTGTGCACTCCCTAGCTGTGTTGGGCTCCTGCCTATCCTGCCCCAACCAGCTTGAAGGGATGAGAAGCAAGGGAGGGGTCCGCTCAGTCTCTCAGGAGGCCCTGGGGAAATAGTGTCTCCAGGGACACCCTAAGCCAGGGGATCTAGAAAAGGACTTTTCCTCCTAGGAGCCCCATCAAGGCAAGGGACCTTGTTCCTAATAGCCACCCCCAAAGGAGGAGCTTGCCACTGGGGCTTGGGGCTGGTCCCTGCCACCCTGGCTTATTTTCAAGACAAGAATTAGGGATAAAAATATACTATGGAGGTAGGAGTTAGGGTGGGGGTAGGAAGGAACTGAGGAATCATGTTGAAGACCCCTGGTCCCCAGGCCTAATAGGCGGCTTTGTCCCTTCCAGTCCTCTGGGCCCACCCTGAGCTTGGGCTGGCATCCCAGGGGGTAAGGGAGTGGGAAGGAACAGGACAATTAAATAAGATACCATTTATTTTTTAAAAAATTAAAAAATAATGCCAACATTATTTCATCCATACCCAGGCCAACCCCTGCCTCCCACCCACCTCCCCAGGGCTGGGTTCCCCTCCTTCCCTGGCTGTCCCGCATAATGACGAGAAAACAATGAACTGGCTTAGTCAGGCACAGGGGAGGGAATGCAAACCCAGGGAAAGAAATAAAAGATGCCACAGCAACTTTGCCCTGCATCACCGCAGCCCCAAGCACAAAGATATAAAAACATTCGTATAAAAAGGGGGAGGGGCATGCTGGGCACTATGCTGAGGGCAAAGTGCTCTCTGGTGCCCAGAGACCTCGTCCCCTAGAGAGAAAGCCTGATAAAAAACAAGGAAGCAGAAAGGGGAGATGTTCGGAGAGTCTTGGGACTGGAGGCGTGGGTTTGGCAGTGTCCCCTGCTGCTTTCAACTGAGGGGACACCCCCATTTCTGCCTCACAGCCTCTCCTCTCAGCCTGCTAGGGCCTGGACCACAGGTGTCTATTGACAGCAGCCCAGGGGCTCTCTGGCCTGAGGTGGTCCAAAAGCCTCAGCAGGTAGACAGCTCAGAGGACAAGGCTCACCTCCAGCTCAGAGGGAGGAGGGCAAAGGACAGAGGGAGGAGGAAGACAGGGCCTGAGAGAGAGGGATGAGCCTGGGAGAAAGAGACTGAGAGAAGTGGAGGGAGGTGGGCTGAGCCTGTGGTCAGGAGGCAGCAATGGCAGTGCCGCCTCCCAGCTTGACAATCATCTGCTGGCAGTCACTGCAGGAGCGCCGGTCGCCCACCTTCTCCAGCGTGCGGGCAGCCTCAGCCAGCAGCACAGCCCGCTGGCCCGGGGAGGAGAGGAAGGAGAGGGGAAGGTGGCGGCAAGCCAGAAGGATGGCGGTAGCCCGCTCTCGCTGGCCAGGCCAGGTGTCCACCTCTCCTGTGGGAACGAGGAGAACATGTAGGTGCTGTTCAGTGGGACTTCCGCACTCACTGATTGAACCCCCATGCTCATGAGGTGAGCACGCTCCCTAGCTCACACGTGGGGAGTTAACCTGCCTGGTGCTGTGGAGCTAAGGCCTGCGGGGACAGAACCTGTGGTCTCCCACCTCTGCTCCTGTGCTGGAACTCCATGCCCAGCCTCCCTCAAGGGCGGACCCACTCAACTACTGCCCATGCCCCCAGCACACCCAGTCCAGTCTGGGGATCCTTTCATTCTCACACCACCGATGGGGCTCAGAGGTGTCAGAGTGCACCCTGCCAGGTGCTGGAACTGGGCTGGGCTGCCCAACATCCAGGGCAGGGCAGCGCAGGGCAGGGCCAGGGATGACCCCCCCCCCCCCCCCCCCCCCCCCCCCCCCCGCAGGACTCACCGTGCTTGGTGTTCTGAGTGGTGCGCCGCCGCAGGCTGTGCTCCAGCAGCTGGTGGGTGCGGGTAGGGCTGGCTCCTGCCATTAAGCGCACAGTGGCTTCATGCAAGAACACCTGAAGAGTAAGGAGGGACACACAGTCAAGCCCTGGGTTCTTGCTTCTCCAGGCCCTAGTGGACACCTCTCCCTGAGCCATTTCATCTGGCACATGATGATCCTTCCCTCTCCTCTCCATGCCACCCTATCTTGCTCACCCCTGAAAGCAACCTCTCTTGTCCCCAAGCTAAATCAGAAACTTGGATGAACAGCAGGAAAGAGGAACAGAGCAAAAGCAAAAGTAGGAATAAAGAGATAAGCAAGAGGAACAGGGCCCGGACACTCCCTCTGGGGCTCTAAGAACAAGCAGCCTGGGTGAAGCCTCAAAGTCCCCAGATGCTGCCTCCAGCCTGACAGACAAAAGGACAAGGCAGGTGGGGATGGAAGGGGTGAAGGGGATAGCTGAGCTGGTAACAAGTTTGTGTCTTGTTTCCTTCTATTTCTTCAGAATGGAAGAGACCAGAGATTTCCAGGTATAAGTTTGCATCACTTAGATAAATAGGAACACTACACAAGGAGGGCAAGTCTAGGTCTCTGATTTCTTTCTGAACACAGAGTATCTTTATTATTTATTTAATGTGTGCTGAGGATTGAACCCGTGCCTCACACATGAAAAGCAAGTGCTTTACCACGGAGCCACACAAACTTGATACCAGCTCAAACTTGAACCCAGCCCTTAGTCTCTAATTTCTTAAAATCCCAGCTTTTCTTTTATGCCTCATATCTCATCTTTGGAGCTGCTAGGTGGCAATGGGGAGCCACTGAAGTCTCCTCAGCATGAAGAGGTGAATGGACAGAATATTCAAGACGAGGCCTTTGATGCCAGCCATGCTGTGAGCAGACCAGAGGGTTGGCCAGAATGAGTCCCACAAGGCACTTTGGGTGTCATCCAAATCCCGGGGCCACTTCTCTTTTCCACAGTAAGAACTGGTTCTCTGGTGTTTATATTTTGACTGCTGTGTCTGTCTTGGTTTGCTACACACAGTGGCCAATGTGACCCTGTAAGGGTGTCCCAGCACCTTAGGGTAAGGAGTACCCTTCATGGCTGCAGCCTCATCTGGAGACCTTCTCCTTGTCTGCGCTCTTCTAACAAAGTACATTCCCCTGTCCCTGACACTTCAGGGTCTCTCTTTAAAAAAAAAAGAAAAGAAAAAAGGTTTTTTTTGGTGCTACTGGTGATTGAACCAGGAGTGTTCTATCTCACTGAGCTATATCTCCAACCTTTTTATTTTTTATTTTGAGACAGAGACTCACTAAATTGCTAAGGCTGGCCTCAAATTTGCAATCCTCCTGCCTCAGCCTCTTGTATTGCTGGGATTACAGGTGTGAGTCACCATACCTAACTTGTCACTCAGATTTTTAGAAAATAATTCAGTTGAGAGGCTGTCCTTGCCCATTTGTATATGAACATGCATATGTGTGAGACAGAAAGTGTGAGTAAGTGGGGGACTCACTGTGAGAGACAGAAAATTTCTCTTGCCTTACAACTTCTTTTCAGGTGGTCTATGCCAATTTCATTTCTTATCAAAATAAACAATTCCTTGTTTTTTCCCCCCTGCCATTTCCCTCCCTGCCAAAAAAAGTATTCAGGTAAAAATATGTTGATTCCAACATAAAGAATGTTTGAGGTGAGGAATATGCCAATTACCTTGGTCTGATTATTACATATTAAACAGATGTACTGAAATATCATTCTATGCCCAGTAAATATCTACAGTTACTATGTGTTAATTAAAATATATTTTTAAAATGTTTAATATAAGCCAGGTGTGGTGGCATGTGACTGTAGTACTAGCTACTTAGAAGGCTGAGGCAGGCAGTTGCTTGAACCCAGGAGATTGAAGTCAGCCTGGGCAACATAGTGAGACCCCATCTCTGAAAACCAAGAACAAAAAAATGTCTAATACTTTACTCTAATTAGCAATAAAAATCAACAAGGAAATGACTCGAGTCCAGCAAGCTCAGTTATACAACTGTCCTCAGAGACTCCTCTCAGAGCGGGTAGTCAGTGCCAAGCGGGGATCACATGGAGAAAGTTAGGCAGCAGAAATGAAGCCCCCAGTGGCTCGGAAAAAAAGGATTAAAGTGAACTTCTTTTTAAATGTGGTTCTAGGGAGATTCTATCACTCTGACAACCAGTTATGAAAGTCGAGGCAGACCCCATGTGGCCAGGACCAGGAGCCCCCCACCTGCTTCCCTGCTCTCTTAAGTCCTCCCACCTGGTGTCTAACTGGTGAGGTATGGCTCCATGGGCTGCCCCTGTCCAGGGATAAGAGTGTGGTTGCTCCATGCTGCGTTTCAGGGCTGGGCACAGTAGGTACTCAACAGTGAGTGCTGAACAAAGGAACAGAGGGCACCCAGCCCACCCCAGTCTGCCCACCACCCCCAGCTTCTGTGCCTTACCTTGCGGTACGCTGGGCGGAAGCTGTGCGCCAACCTGCGCAGGCTTCCTAGGTCCCTCTGGAAGCCAGCCAGCTCAGCACCTGAAGCATGGTAGGTCTCACCCAGGGCCTGGCTGACGCCTGCTTGCTTTTGCCAGAGTGCTGTCCGCAGTGACAGTAATAGGTCGCAGGTCAGCAGCTGGACCACCTGTGGAATGAGCATAGAGAGAGGAGATGGGTGACTGGCTTATGCCTAACACAAGGATCCTGGTACCAATTGGGCCTGCCCTTAGTCTGGCACTCAGCACAATGCAGGGGATCACATGGAGAAAATTAGTTAGGCAGCAGAAATGAAGCCCCCAATGGCTCAGAAAAAAGGATTAAAGTGAACTTCTTTTAAAATGTGGTTCTAAGGAGATTCTGTCACTCTGACAACCAGTTATGAAAGCCAGAGCAGCCCCCATGTGGGAGAGAAGAGCTGGTGGCAGCCTTAGTCCTGAGGTAGATCTTTCTCTCTATTCTTCAAGTGGGAAAGCTGAGTCTCTGAAAGGGGAAGTGGCTGGTGCAAGGGACAACACAGCACAGGCAGGTGATAGGGGCAGGAATAAAACCCTGTGGGTCTGAGGGCACAGGTCCTCCACCTCAAGGAAGCCCCCATGGCTGGCCTGGAGGCTGAGAGGCCAGGGTGCCAAGGTCTTCCATCTCCAGAGGAATCCAGAGTCCATCTGAAATGGCAGCAGAGTCCCAGAGTGGACTCTGCTTGGCTGAGACTGGTTCTCTCAGGAAGACATATACTAAGGGAGACCAACAGAGAGCCCAGCAGTGCCTCCTGATTCCGCCTTTGGTCTTGGGTCCTTTGTGCACAATGCCTGTCTCTGTCGGGCTCACACTGTCCTGGCTTCACCCCAATGCCCAGGCCCACTGGAAACCTTTAACTTGAGGTGCTAGCCAAGCCACCTGGAACCAACCCCCAGTTGGCAGCTGCTGACCCTCCAGGATGCTCCTCATTGTGCCACACGTTTCCCAGGGGAGCAGATGATGTCAGCTGCTGCCACACTCCTACCCTCCTCTGTGTCCCAGGATGGCTGTGCCTTCCACAAGTCTTCTAACAAGGATCCCTTCCCCAAGTAACAGGGCCTTGTCAGGGCACGTGGGAGTCTCTCGCGGGCCGAGCAGGCCTCTGGGATGCACTGTGGAAACATTGCACGAGTACCGCCAGAACATGCAATGCAACTACAATGCACCACAGCTGCCCGCCAGGAGGTGTGCGGCCACTGCAGAGGCGCAGGGTGGTCAGCTGGCTCAGGGTGCTGGCCTGAGGGTAGGGGCCCGCTCAAAGGCTGTCAGCAGAGCTGGGAAGTAGCACAAGCTGCCTGGAGCAAGTGCGCAGCCCTGGCCAGATGCAGTTCACCTGGGGCTTACAGAGACGTGTGGGCCAGCAGGATCTGGGGTTTGGGGAACCTAGGGAGAGGTGCAGGTGCAAACATGCTTGTCCCAGCAATCAAAAATGGCATTCACCCAGGACAACAGGCCACATTTTGGGAAATGGGGCTGCTAGTATGGTTCTGTCTCTTGGGACAGCCCAATATACTGGGCAAGCTTGGAGTGGGGGGAAGCATTCATATAGACCTCTGGGCGCCTCCCAGAGGCCAGCTAAGCTCCTACTCACGTGGTTGAGGGCAGGGTCAGCAGTGGCCCCACTGACATTGAGGCTGCTCCACAGGTGGCCACTGGCCCTCTCGCAATGACAGAAGGAATTCTGCTGCCCATCTGCCTTCCCAGAGAGTGAGGCATGCATGGCTCTGCAGGTGTGGAAGATGGCCTTCACCAGGGGGCTCCTGCAGCAGTGACAGGGAGGAGAGAGGCAGGTCAGGGTGGTACCTGGGGAACAGGCAGAGTTCAGGCTGATGACTACCACACCCCATATCACTATGACACATGGGTTTGTCACTGCAATGCTGCCATACAGTTCCTGCCAGCTTTAGATCTGAAACGCCAGCTCTGAACTAGGTCAGCCCCTCCCCACCAAAATCTGATGCTGGAAGATTCTGGAGGCCTAGGTGTGACTGCCAGATGCTGCCACTAAGAAGCTACCTAAGAAAGGAATGCAAGTAACCTGTGCCTAGTTTCCTTATCCATAAAGTGGCCATAATACTGCTTGCCACTACCTATGGTGACACACGGTACTGGCCCCATTATTTTGTACCTGTTCTCTAAGGACAGTTCCTCCCAAAGGCTGGTATTAAAGTATCAGGAGAAACCTAGCAGGCTGGGGAGAGGGTGGAGAGTGGGAAGCTCCCCACAGTATCACTGCTCCAAAGAAGAGCACAGGGAGCCAGGGGGACTTGTCAGGATGCCCGCAGGGGCAAGGATGCCCACGAAGGTGCCTTAGCTCTCTGCTGAAGCTCTGCAGTTTATAAGTAAAGTAATGAGACAACCTATCTGGTGAGCTGACCAGAGGCACACTGTGGATGTGCTAATGTAGGCTGGTGTGGGGTTGGGTGCTTACTTCCCAGGGGGCTTCAAATGGGGCCACACAACAAAACTGGGGTGTTAAACCTACTTTAGGGAATACAGGGCTCAACCCTGCTCATCCCACTTTTTTCAACTCCTTCCTGTGCTCTTGGTTGAGTCTGCTTGGCAGGAAATGTGCCAGCCTTGGTTCTCCAGTCAGGACCCCACGGGGCTTTTCTGTCTTGGAGCATTTTACAGTCACTCTCAGGAGCACTCAGATCTAATCAGAAACAGCTGGAGCATCGGCAAGCAGGGCTGCCCATCACTAAGGGCCAAATGACCCCAAGGTGCAGACATGAGTTTCAGAGGAATGTCAAAAGCTCTCTGGTTGTGCTATAGGCCTTTTAGTTATAGAAGGCTGACAGGGCTGATGGGGGTGAAGAGAGCTGAAAGGAACCTGGAAATAATGTCGGAGCCCACACGAGCTTCAGCGAGATGCTGGCTTCCCCGCAGTGGCCACAGCCACACAGCACTGCTGTTCCCACTACGCAGTTTCTGATTTTGCCAGGAAGCAGTCTGCTTTCTCTCCTCCAGCCTGTGGCAGCAGGGAGGTGGTCCCAGAAACAGTACTAGTAGCTGTTGGGACAGCCACTGAGCTGTGCAGAGCACAACACTCACACAGAAGGCCTTGCTGGGACAGCCGCCTCTCTGAGGTGCTCTGCCCCTTCTGCAGCTTCCCGTCTATCATAGTTCTGATCGCTCAGCTCACTGTGGCCTCCTGGAACTGCTCCCTCCTACTAACCCACACAAGATCCTCCTGGAGAAAAGCAGGTGAGTAGCCAAGTAGCCTTACGTACTCAGTCACTTCCAGGGCCTTGGGGACATGCTCTACTTCAGTAAAATGCGCACGCACAGCTGCATCGTCTCCCTGGAGCCAGCTAATAGCCATAGTGATTGCGGATGTCCACCACCGGCAGATGATGTCTGGACCTAGAGGGAGCAGCAGGAAACACTCCAGTGCCCACAGGAGCTTGGCACAGCTCAGCGGCTGTTCCTACATGGTGCATAGCATCTTTACCTTCTGCGATGGATAGGGGCCCCAGGGCTGCCCTTGCCCATGATTCTGGCGTGAGTGTCAATCAGCACTCCTAGTAACAATAGTATTCCCATTTTTGGCAATCTCTCAAGAAAACTGGCTTAGCGAAGTTTAACAAAGATTTTCACTATTGTATTATTTTTAAATAAAGAGTTGGACACAACCTAAACTTCCAAGAGCCATAAAGACTGGTGTCTTCGAATCAACCAAGAGTAGCAGGTTTACTTTAGAATATTTTATATCTTTTCCTCTCTGAGCTTCAGTGTTTTCAATTGCAAAATTATGATACCAGTGATTTTACAAAGCCAAAAGAGGTGTCGCGTCAGAGAAAAGGTGTAAAAACACACCTTCTTCTAAACTCTAAAGTACAGAAAGGCTGCAGGTCAGTAGTCATGCTACTTGTGGTGGCTACTTTTCTGGGATTCTTCCCTCCCTAGGGAGAGTGGGCAGGGGATAGTTTGGTACCTCCATCCCCCAGTGGTCACAGAAGTCTGAGAGGTGGCAATAATGTACTAGCATCCACATGGCAGTTTAGGGAAAGAAGAATGCCCTGTGTCAATTCTGTCAGTTAGGCTGCTCTCCTACACTCAAGGCAACGGGAAGCCAGAGTGATGGAGATGTCAGCATGGAGTGTAAGGAGCAGCTTCGGGGCTACTGTGCACCCTGGTGCCTGGACCACTTGCTGCTTATTCCGCATCTGGGAATCACCCAGCCAGGGCTTGAGATAAAAACCTGGGACCAGAGAAGACACTTGAGTGTACACTCATACTAACCCCGGGCACAGAGAAAAGGGATGGGCAGGAATGAATTAAGTACCCACAGGACTTTAGAGCCACCTGCAGATGCTCACCAAGGGCTGACTTGAGCACAGAGCTGCTGGAGAATGGAGGGGTCACAAACCCCACAGAGTCCACGAAAGATTGAAGCAATTTCAGGTATTCTAGAGCGCTTGAGAATTCACTAAAAAGAAAAGAAAGGGTCCCATGTACATCAAAACATACACAGGGACCACTCCTGACCTGGCTGTTAGCTCTACAGCTCTAAGACCCAGGGGCTCTTTCTGGCCCCTCCTCCCCACCATTATGGGCACTTTGTGCTCTGCCATGGATGCCCTTTCCTATTCCACAGGCCAGCCTTCCTCTTTCTCCCCTCCCCAGCAACCCTGACTCCTCCCCTCAAGGCCTGATTCCACTGTCTTGTCCTCCCTGAAGTTTTGTCTCTCCCTGGCAGCTCTGTCCCCTCCCTCCCTCCTCAAATACACTTGGTCAGGACCTGGACTTTGTATCAGAGTGACTTTGGCACCTCTCTGCCTCCCAGGTCTTATTCTATAAAGGAAAAGCTGTGCTCAGTAACTAAGTAAGAGCTAAAAATTGCCAAGCACGATCACTGAGGGGCTGAGTCCCCAAGATGTCCATCTAGTGGCGTCTGCCTTCTGCTAAGCTCTGCACATACCAGTTCTATTCCCTCTCAATAGGCCACTGCCTTGATTAACTTGCTCCAACAAACTGGCTCCACTTGGTAAAGGGGTGGGTAAGAGGAGCAAAAGGGATGGATGTACTTGGTCTAGAAAAAAGGCAAGTCAGCTCACAGAGGCCTCCATTTTTGAAAAATAAAGACAAAGAATCATTCTATTTCCTGGCCTGTCAGCAGGGGGTGGCCTAAGGACTTTACCAGGTCTCCTCTTCCTGGTCTCCAGCTTTCTTCTTGGCCTGAGGTTTCACCAAGGACTCCACAGCTTGCTCTAGTAGGTTCTTGCAGAAGGCCTGATGGACCTGGGCAATGGGGTCAGCTGAATAAAAGCAAGAAGGGTTAAATGGGTCTCATGTAGGAACCTTTTTGGTGCCAAGAGTTTTGCTGGCTGGCAGAGGATACAAGTGCATGTTTAGCATGTGCGAGAACCTGGGTTCTATCCCAGCATCCCCCACCACACCAAAAAGGGTCTTATTTAGGAGCACTTTGTTTTTACAGAGGAGAGGACAGGGAGAGGACCCCAAGAAACAGCTGTGTCCTTTACTAGGGATCAAATCCTTCTTCCCAACCAAACCAAAAAACTACCCTGCTAAATAGCCACAAGGTCACAAGGTAGGGAAGGAAGTCAACCCAGACTGAAGAGCCCAAGACTACACGTAGAAACTATATGTTTATAGTTTATGAGGGGAGGACCTGGAAGGTGGCTGTGTGTGTGTGTGTGTGTGTGCGCGCGCGCGCTATATCTCTTAGTACTGTTCACAGAACTTCAAAGTTGGATCCATAAGGGGACAGCTGCAAGCCTTGTCAAAAAACAATAAAAAAAGGAAAGGCAGACACTACCTAAGAGGCGGTCTCTTCTTGTGGTTTGAGAGAACAGCTAGCCAAGGAATAAAAGGTGGTGGCAGTGGCTGCAGTGCTCCTGACAATGAGGAACACACTCTTGTTTTCCCAGAGCCTTGTCATGGAAACTGTGACTAGTAATGTTCTGGTCAAGCTCACTAGACAAGGGAACTTGCAATGCTCGCTTTAGCTGAATGTCACCGATAAGCCCCTTTACTGGAAAGCTCAAATCATGGCATCATTGGCCACTCCTCCCCTCATAAGTGGCAAACAGGGGCCCTGATCTGACCAAGGAAAAGGAACATTTATGATCATTTTCTGGGTGACAAGGCCAAGGACTAAAAGAGGACAGAAACCTGTGCAAAGTCTTTGCTAAACAGTCATCAGTGGGAAGGGGGTTGGAAGACTTAGAATTGCTTTTGCTTTTATCCTTCACTCTTTGGTGTTGAGCATAATTCTTATATTGAGCAATTTGAAGAAAAAAAAAGGACGGCAAACACCTCCAAATATTTGACAGCCCTCCTATACCTGCAGAGCATGCCTCCACTCCTCACAGGCCCCATTCAGAGGGGAAAGTGCAACAGAAAGCAGAAAGCCACCAAGCACTCAAGGTCTGAGCACATCCCAAAGAGCCTCTGCAGCTCCAAGGCCAGGCGAGTCAACTCCAATCACTATCAAATGCCAGAGACAGAAAGCCTGCATCTCCTTTCAATGCCTGGAGCCCTGTTCCTGTCACCACTCTGAGCACTTGATGACTGCCTGCTGCCTATTGTTCCCCAACTGCTCCATATATGTCTGTCTGCTTTCCCAATGGGACAGAAGACCCGGAGGCCAGGGAACTGCAAGCCCCAAACATCCTTTGTATCTCCAAAGTGCCCAGGACAAGGCTAAGAAAACAGTTGGTGCTTAATCAAAACTTATCATATGTGACATTGTAATGTGAGGACAACAGGCTTTGACTGAGAAAGCAGAGCTGTACACCCGGCTCAGTCATAGACGGGCTCTGAACAGGCGTGGAACCTCAGAAAGGTACTTAACCCCCCTGAGCCTCAATTAAAAAACAAAACAAAACAAAAAAACAACAACACTGTATAAGACTGAGACCAACGCTGCACAGGAACCTGCAGTAGGGGTTGCTCCCACGGCCATCTCCAATTCTGATGGCACTGAAGGCACTCTTACCTGGGTTCCTCTCAGCACAGTACAGACTCTCCTTGGCTGCTGCCTTCACTGACCAGCTGCGCTCCATGAAAAACTTCTGGCCCAGTGGGTGGCAGAGCCAGCGCAGGGAGTCAGGGACAGCGCTGCGCTCAGGGCCACACAGATTCTGGGCACGACTGAGGAAGTAGTTCTATGGAAGAACAAAAAGCAGGGGTGACGCCAAGGTAGTAGAATGCTGTCTGCAGCCATTATGCGATCATCTGGAATCCTGATAGTGGAGGATGGCTAAGGGGAATGTCAGGAAAGGGTATCATGAGTACCTAGAAGTGAAGCCCACCATGGAAACTAGGGCAAGTGACAATTCTGGGGAGCTTGCCAGCATAGGCAGGAGGGAATGGCCCAAGGCACACAAGGCACCCGCTGCATCCTGTCCTGCAGGGCCTGTCTAACCCTTATGGAACATAGTTTTTTCCTGCTAGCACTCAATCTGTAGAGCAGCGTGTGGGGGTTGTTTACTGAAGGGTCTCAGAGGTCACCTGCCTGTACTCACTCTCTGCCCTTGGAGTACCTGGCTTGGTACTCCAAGCTCCCATGATCCTAGGACTTTTTCTCATGTCATTTTAATTATATATCTTTTAGAGTATTTTAAGGCAAAATCATATTCTGCTTTGACTAATTTTTCATCTCTTTTACCTTTGAGTATAAAGGGTATGAACAATACCAGGCCCAGATCCAGCTGTCACTATCACAGCACACAGCTCTGGAGTGAAGGGACAGTGCAGGTTCATCCAGGACCTTGCAGACATGTGTGTACTATAAGGACAGCTCCTTTAGAAAGCCCCAGGCCTTCCTTGCATGAGGCCCAGCCAGCAAGAGACTTTGAAAACCTCTTTGCTGGGTAATTCAAACTGCTAGCGTCCCAGTCTCCTTTTCTACTTGCCAGATAATAGCATTTCAGAGCCCCAGTGACCAAACTGCAGGGATAATGCTGCCTGTCACAGGTTTTTGAAAGTTCTGTCATTTTTGGTGTGAGGATATCTTTAGTCTGTATGTGTGTGGCACTGGGGGTTGAGCCCAAGGATGCTCTACCACTGAGCTGCATCTCAGTCCTCTTTATTTTGGGACAGGTCTAAGTTGCCAGGCTGTCCTTGAGCTTGTGATCTTCTTGACTAAGGCTCCCGAGTAGCTGGAATTACAGGCGTGCACCATGACTGGCAGGTGATGACATCTTTACTTAAACTCTTATGATTTCCGACCTGTAAAACTACTTAACACAGGCCAAAGCACAGGCAGATCCAGGAGCCCAGAGTCGGGGCTGCTGGGACATAGCCCCAGGACTTCCCCATTCCACTTCAGTCGCTGACTCCACCAAGAAGCCAGTGGCCTCATGGTCTGGTTTAGTCTGATGGCTCTGACCTTTACTGGGCTCTAAGCAGCCATCAGCTAATGCAAGAACTTCAGAAGACTTGAATGCCAGGGTCAGAAATAGCATGGCCAAAGTGCAGCCACTCAAGGACACAGATGGAAAAGACTGCCTCTCTCAGGGGAACTTGGAGATGGCTGAGTGTATCAGCCATCTCATAGCAACTTATGGGATGAGGGGAATGTCACTTAAATTTCTAAAACAGAGGGCCAGTGGTATTGTCTTTCTTCCTCTGTGCTGAACAGTTTTAAGCAGAGAATATTGGAGAGAAAATGTAGAGGAATCTTCTGTGACCCTCAACAAAGTGCCAACTGAATCTCAGCTGGTAACTGAACAGTGGGAGAACTGCAGCTGAGCAGTGACAACACTGGACAGGGTGAGACTCCAGTGCCTCTTACGTCCCAATGTCTTCTAACAGTTGACCCCAATCTCTCCCAAGAACAGCTTGTTCCAAGGCCCAATCAGGAAGGGAATGTGGTGCTTGCTTCAGGGGAAATCAAGGTCCATCTGATCCCTCAGAAGGGCCCCAGTGTCACACATTGAAGCAAAAAAACGAAGCCTGGTCAGGTTGTATGGCAAGAGGAACCCACAGAGACCATTAAGAAACTCATTCAGTTGAAATATACTTTAAAACTGAATTATTAAAAAAGAAAAACTTATAACAAATCTCAGTGGAGGGGGAGCTTGATTTTAGTGGTTTGAAGTAATAAGAAATATAAATCTGGGATAGGCACCCACAGTCTGGCTTCTGTAAGGGAAATTGAGGAAATAACTTGTTACTCTTTTAATTTTCTTGGCATTATAGTTCTATGATGATTTTCCTAAAAAAATCTTTTAAAATTTTTCCTATATTTTATAGACATTGGAACTCTTTCCTAAGCAGAGACCCAGGAGTCCCAAACTGTTTAGGTCCTCGGCACTACCCAGACTCCTAGGCCAGTCCCAATTCCAGGTGTTTGTGCCTCATCACCCCATGTGGCTAACCATGCAGTTCTCAAATTGTGTGTCATGACATTCTGAAGAGATACAGCAAAGGCTCAAGGGAGCCAAGTTAATTTTTTTTTTTTTTTTTTTTAGAGAGAGAGAGAGAGAGAGAATTTTTTAATATTTAGTTTTTAGTTTTCGGTGGACACAACATCTTTATTTTATTTTTGTGGAGGATCGAACCCAGCGCCCTGCACATGCCAGGCAAGTGCGCTACCGCTTGAGCCACATCCCCAGCCCCCAAGTGAAATTTTTGAGGGAAATAACAATGCTCAACATCAGTTGGATACTGGGTAAACTACTAGATTGAGGTAGTTCACCGTGTCAAAGTGAGACACCTTCCTTTAAATGACATCATATTTTGGTGAAACTGAAGTTTTAGAGGTTACTGTGATAAAGAAGCAAGAATTAGAGCTGGGGTTGTGGCTCAGTGGTAGAGCACTTGCCTAAGTATGTGTGAAGCACTGGGTTCGAAGAGAGAAAGAAAGGAAGGAAAAGAAAAGAAAAGAAACAAGAACTGCCTGGGAACAGTGGTTCATGCCTGTAATCCCAATTACTTGAGAGGCTGAGGCAGAAGGATCACAAGTTCAAGGCCAACCCAGCAACTTGTGCATGCAAAGCAAGCATTCTACCAACAGAGCTATAACCCCAGCCCCAACCTCAGCAACTTAGGGAGACCCTGTCTCAAAATAAAAAATTAAAAGGGTTGGGATGTAGCTCAGTGGTAAAGTGCTCCAGGGCTCAATCTCTAGTATTTAAGGATAAAAAGAAAAAATACAGAAAACCAGTGTGGAACAGAAAATGCAGGTGGTGGTGCCTAATCTGATTCTGAGGATTCAGAGATGGCAAGGCTCAATTTACAAAGGCATCCTATTATAAGTAATCATGATTATTAAGAATCAAAAACAGGGCTGGGGTTGTGGCTCAGTGGTAGAGTGCTTGCCTAGCATGCATGAGGCATTGAGTTTGATCCTCGGCACCACATAAAAATAAAATAAAGATATTGTGTCCACCTAAAACTAAAAACTAAATATTAAAATAAAGAATCAAAAATAATATTTCTTCTTTTAATTTCATGTGTGAATTTTTTTTTTTTTCAAATGGGTACTGACCTATTAAGACATAAATACCTATTTAGGATGTTCCAACTATTGATAACAGAACTAAACTACTACCACTGTATTAAAAAAAAAAAAAAAAAAATCAGACACATGATGCCATGAATCTAAACCTCTGGTCTAAACATTTTCAGAGGCTGGCTAGCCCTCCACCTGCCCCCAGTGCCTGGCTCATTTGTTAGCTGATTCTATCTCACCAACTCAAACTGTCTTCCTTCTGGATCTTTATTTTAAGAAAGTATCTGGGTCTCTTTAATTTACCCCTCCCAAAGGAACTAAACAGAAAGGGCCAGTTACCTTAGAAATAGATGGCAGTTGTTCTCCTTCCCCATCTTACTGAATATATGCAAATTGGGCAACACTACTAAAGTTCCAAATACTTATCCTTTGACCCATCATCATCATCATCATCATCTTTAGAGATTCAGTCTGAGGAAGCTCTCATAGAGGTGGGTGAAGACAATATAATGAGATGTTCCCTGAAACCCAGTGCGTAACAACAAATGCAGGAAATGATCCAAATGTCCTTTAGCAGCACCAAGTATCTCTGCAGAAGAAGACCACTATAAAGAAAGATGACCAAGCTGGGTGCGGTGGCACATGCCTATAATCCCAGCAGCTCAGGAGGCTGAAGCCTTAAGCAACTCAGTGAGACCCTATCTCTAAATAAAAAATAAAAAGGACTGAGAATGTGACTCAGTGGTTAAATGCCCCTGGGTTCCATCCCCAGTACCAAAAAAAAAAAAAGACCAAGATCTATCATTAGGTTGAAAAAAAGCAAGTGGCAAAACAAGGTTATGGTATAATTACATTAAATAAATCACAACGTATAGACACATTAGTATGTGCAGTGAAAAAATTCTGAGAAAATATACACTAAATTATTCACTGCTTGTCAGGCATACAGAATGTTTTCTGGGGGCTCATGGTCAGGGGCATTTTTCTTTATTTGAGATAGGGTCTTGCTATATTGCCCAAGCTGGTCTTGAACTCCTGGGCTCAAGTAATCCTCCTGCCTTGGCACATACCATTGTACCTGGCTTTTAGGGATAATCTGTATGGGATTTTTGAGATGACTAGTTAATTGTAAAATTTATATGGCCAAAAGAAGAGCAAAAAATTGTCACTAAAGCTGGAGGACTGATATGTCTAGATAATAAGACCAACTAGGAAACCAAGCCTTTAGGGCTGTTTGGTGGATTCATATTTCCCAGAAAGCTGTCCCGAAACTGACCCACCGCTTTTGGATACTAGATTTATGAAAAAAAGGCGTTGTACTCACTGCAAGAGAGAGAGAGAAAGAGAGAGAGAATTTTTTAATATTTATTTTTTAGTTTTCGGTGGACACAACATCTTTATTTTTATGGGGTACTGAGGATCAAACCCAGCGCCCCGCACATGCCAGGTAAGTGCGCTTCCACTTGAGCCATATCCCCAGCCCTGCAGTGGAGTTTTGGGTTTTTTTTTTTTTTTGGTGGTGCTGGGGGTTGAATCCACAGCCCTATGCATGCAAGACTTGCACTCTACCAACTGACCTATATTCCCCAGCCTGATTTTTTTTTTTTTAAATAACAACAACAAATAATATATGTATTGGGTCAGATAGACATCCATATAAAAAAATCAATTCCAGTGGATCAGGGATTTGTAATGTGAAAAGCAAAAAACACAGCTTATAGTAGACGCCACGGGAGAACATTTTCATGACTCTGACACAGCAAAGATTGGCTGAACAAAACAAAGCATCTAACTATAAAAGAAGACTAATAATCTAGATTTCAGAATACGCAAATAAGTCAAAGTGGGAGAAAACATCTGCAGAAGCATATATCCAAAAAAGGATCACATCTAGAATAAAGAAGTCCCATATCAACGAAAAGACAAATAGCACAAGTGAAAAAACAGGTAAGACTCAGTTGAATAGGGTTTTCACAAAGAGACTCTGTAATGAGATACACTAAAAGGACTAAGGAAGCCCCCCGCCGACACTACCATGTATTTGGTGAGAGTGTGAAGGTGGAATTCAGGCATACCACTGGCACCATTTTAGAAATATGCATAATGTACGGCCCTGCAATACCTTTGCTCACAGCAGCACTATTCAAAAAACCTCAAATAGGAAGCAACTAAAAAATCCATCCACAATGAACAATCAGTGTTAACAGTGTAAAGCAGTGAGAATGAAAACCTGTAACTCCATGCAACAACATGCATGACTCATACACCTGACAGGGAGCAAAGAAGCCAGACACAAAACAGTATGCCCTGCCTACTCTCCTAATGCAAAGTTTACAAAGAGGCAAAACATCTGAGTGATCGGACATTTATCCTGGGCTGGGGGACTTGGAATGACTACAAGGGGAACTTTTGAGATTGTTTCTTTGCCTTTTCCTTTTTTTTGCAAATATGCGTTTAGTTGTAGATGGACCCAGTACCTTTGTTTTACTTGTTTATGTGGTGCTGGAGATTGAATCCAGTGCCTCATGCATGCTAGGCAAGTGCTCTACCACTGGGCCACTGAGCCACAACCCCAGCCCTTGAGGTTGTTTCTTGATCTGTCTGCTGGTTAAGTGGGTTACTCTGTAAAATCACAATGGTGTACTTATGATTTGTGTACTTATCTACTTTCATATATTCCTCAATAAAAAATTTACAGAAGGCCTGGGGATAAGCTCAGTGGTAGAGCACTTGCCTAGCAAGCTTAAGGCCATGTATTCAATGCCAAGTAATACCCCCTGCCGAAAAAAAAAAAAAAAAAAGCACAAAACCCAAAAACAATAGATTAAACTATGGTGGTAGAATTTACAATAGTGGTTAGCTTGAATGGGGTCAGGGAAATAGGAGAGGGCTTTGAAGGAAGCTTCTGAGGAAGCTGGGAACATTCTTTTTCATGATCTGGGTGGGTGGTTTTACACAGGTGAGTTCCTTTTGTGAAAATTCCTCAAGTTCAACTGTGTGCATTTTTCTCCAGGTATGCTGAACTTCACTAAAATAAATGTCTTCAAAATATTTTGGGGGGTGAGGGCCTAAAAATTACATGTGTAATTCGGCCCAGAGCATAAAGACAAACAAACTGCATAGGGGAGAGGCCTTGCCAATGCCTCCTACTCTTAGCCTGGATTCATATTTCCCAGAAAGCTCACTTTGACCTCCCCTAAGATCCAGTCAGGAGACCAGCATGCTCTTTAGGCAGCAGGTTAGTAATACCCCCCTCCAAAAAAAGCACAAAAAACAAAAACAATAGATAAACTATGGTGGTGGGATTCACAATAGTGGTTAGCTTGAATGGGGGCAGTACTCATCCTTGCACCGTTCTGAAGGCCTGACCCCTGTCAGATTGTATGCTCCCCAAGGACAGGGTAAAGGCTCTGCTCACTGTGATATGTCTACTCTGGAAGTGCCCAACCCAGAGCAAGTGCCCAGTAAAGATTGCTAAATGAAGGATGTCTTAACAATGGTCACAGAAACAGGGCCAAAACATGGAAAAGACCAAGTTTCTCTGTGCCCTTGTCACCTAGACTATAGGTGTGAACTTCAGGAAACAGTGTTACCATAGGACATATGCCTGTTCATTCTTAGCTTATTGCCTCCATTACTGAGATATGGAAACGTGATAATTCTGTTTTGAACATAACTGAATGTGTTCAGCAGTCTACCCAAAGTGGGGCACTGTGTAAAATAAGGCTAAAAGAAAGTCTGAGGTCAGCAGATGCTGTGAACTAGCTGATAACAAGGATCGGGAATTAGCCAGCTGTGAATGCCCATGCTGGCACCTTGCCAGGCATATTGGGAGACACTTGATAACCTCAGTTCCCACCCTAGTTCTGACATGAGCTCTTTGCAGACAAGCACTGCTTTTCGTTTCTGGACTCATAGTGCTGTGATCAATAAATGCCTTTTGCGTGCAGAAAATACCAAAAAATATAACCAGAAGATTTCAAGTATGAGGAGTTGAATGTTAATCCCTGAGTACAGGCCACACAGGGTCTCTGAAACAGTCTTCTTCCCTCAGGACACCAGAATGTCCTGCTTATATGGCATATGCCTATAAGGGCCAGGAGTGGAGGAATCTTGGTCTGTTTCATTTACTGCTATAAGTATTTGTGGAATGCGTGAGTCAATGAATATCTCTCCTTCAGATGGTAGATACCAGAGTGTTGGCCCATACTGCTTTTTAGCTACTGGTTGGGGAAAGTGCTCAGCAGAGTTTTGTAGAAGGAAATGAAGGGTACTCACAGCCAGGAAGCCGAGCTTGCCTCCATACCGCGTCTTGAGTCCCATGGCAGCTGTCAGATGGATCTCAACCAGCATGCTTGGTGGGATTTTCTCCTCTGCACACTCAGCCAAGTTCACAGCACACAAAGCCATGTGTACATCTGAACAGGCAGATCCTGCAGGAAGCTTCCCTAGGGCAGGCAGAAACAGACACTAATGTTGACAGATTTCCCAAACCAAACATTTCCCTACGTTCTGTAGCACAATCAGAGCAACAGTGGTTCCCGAGGAGAAAGGAGTTGAGTTTTGTGATCAAACAGGTCTGGACGGGACACCAGGCTCTGTGACTTACTAGCTGTGTGCTCTTGTCTACCTCACAGGGTGGCTGGGCACCTGGCTCTGTAAAATGTGAGTTGTCATGATTGCTGGTCATTTTATAGGACTCAGAGGCAATATTTTCCAAAACAATGTCAACGGCATGGCTACATTCTGCTGATATAGTACTGAGTCTCCTAACATTTCAGTGGAGGTAATGAATACTTAAACCAAACAAGAGCCCAAAGTTGATTTGAATTATAATATATAAGCACATATCCCACTGAAGAAATAACAAAACTGAGCAATGATGGCCAGACGTGTGTGAGGTTGGCAGGTGGGAGGCCAGGAAAGGTCCACCTGTGAAAGCTGCACAACAACCCTCCTAGGGGCAGCCCTGAGGCTCGCTCATTTTTGCTTGAGTTGGTTTTCAAAGGCTGGGAAGAGGCAAAGTCAGGCCTCTGGACCTCACTTAGTTGTGTTCTTCCCACTTAAATCAGCACAGGAAACCTTCAGCCCTGTGATTCATAAAAATGTGTATTGACCTGGGGTGTCTGTCTCCCCCAATAGGCATTAAGCTTTCTCTTCAAGGGGAGAAGGGTAGAGTACAGTGGCAGCGTTCTGGAAACCATACGGTAGTCACCTGTCCCCTCAGTGCCTCCCACAGGCCCTAGTCTGGAGAATGCTCAGTGAATGTGGAGGGAATGAGTGATGTGAGGTTCCCCAGCTGAAATTCTCTAGAATTTGACAGCTAGTACAACACAGTCTCCTGATCAGAAACCTGGGTGAGGGGTTTGTCTGTTCCAAAGACACTTGAAAGGCAAAGAAAAGAAGCAGGGGAGCTTTGCAAATAGGGATTTCTTAAAAACTGTATAACTGGCTCCACTCCTGGCCAGCCCTCTAGCCTAAGTGCCCAAGTCTGTTCCACTTCTGGCTAAAGCTCCTTGAAGTCAGCAGTGATTTCCAGCACCTTCCAAAATCTACAATTACTTTCTGGCCCTCACCTTACTACTGGTGTAAGTCCCAGCAATAACTCACCCTCCTCTACCATCTCTGTCTTCGCTCCCCAAGCCACACTTCTGAATCTTCCTCTGACCTGTGACTGCCCTTCGCAGGCAGTGTCCACTCGGACTCCCATGCTCTGCCTGTCTTACTGAGGATTCCTTCCACATGTCTTTTCTCATCAGCTCCCTTGTTTTCACTCTCCCCTGCAGGCCCAGAGTCCACTTTCTGTCCCAGGATGCAGGTCCTGCAGGTCCAGCTACCTATAGTATAATTCCTGCCCATGTCTCACAGGCAAGTGTTCAAAACAAACGGCATCGCCTCTTCCTGGGAAAACTGCTCTTCCTCTGGTTCCCTTCACCTTCATCAGTGACATCACCATTCACCCAAACTCCAGAGCAACAAGCCAAGGAAACATCCTGGCTGGCTCCTTTCTGTATCTGTCACATCCACTGAATCCCCAAGCCCAGTGAATTCTACCTGCTAATTTTTTCTCCATCTGTGCTTTCAGCATTTCTCATCTTCAAGCTGCCTCAGTTCCTATTTGGCCTCTGTCTCCAGCCTTAATCCTCTCAGATCCAACCTCTCTCTGTCACCAGGGAGAACTACTTCTACACAAGAAGCACCGATCGGACTGGGTCGTTATTTTCCAAATGCCCTTCAATGGATCCTACGGATACACTACAAGATTCCCCCACCTGCTGGAATTCAGATTCTTCCCATGCGGGCAGTGCCCTGCCCTCATGTCCTGGCTTTAGGACTACTGGAATATTGTCCTTAAGAGCTGACCTAGTGTGGGGCTTGGTGACTTCCCTCTGCCTGAAAGGCACACCTCCTGCAGAGCTGCTGACCTAGGCATTCTTCCTGTAGAAGCCAAGGCTTTATAGCCATCCCCCACCCCACTAAGTCTTTCTTAATCCCCTCCTTGTGCTAAGTCTACACTGAATTATCATCCATCTGCAGGGCTGACTGTGTCTCTATTAGAGCAGGAGCTTAATGAATAAAATAAATGATCATATTTCATTGATTCTAAGATACCATTAATTTTAAGTCACATATTAATTTAAGTATCACTACCAGCTAATCCACAATGTGTCATTATTTATAGGATACATCAAAAGTATAAAGATGTTTAAAAAAGGGGGGGAGGAAGTATAGAGAAGTTACTAGGAACAAAATGTGCAGCTTAGAGATGATAAACTATAGCTATGAATGAGGTGGAAAGTGAGTCTAAAAAAGCAATGTAAAGGGGGCTTCACTCAGGGTGGAGACCTGGCAAAGTGGAGGAGATGGCACGGGGCACCTTGCAGCAAGCCATGCAGTAGTAGCTGGTCACTCACCTGTGATGTGCAGCTGGTGCAGCCTATGATAGGCCAAGGCTGCATCACGCGCGCTGCTCTTAGCTTCATCCTCAAAGCCAGCTGCAGTGGCAGGGGTGGCCCGCCAGCGCTGGAAAACTTTCTTGAGCAGCCAACGTACCAGGCGCAGCTTCTGCAGGCTATAGCGGATCACGTTCCAGGAGAGGCTACAGGCCAGGTCCAGGCGGGAGGTGGGTAATGCCCGGCCCAAAACCGAAAGGCAGGTTTGTAAGTTGGCGGCAGCAGCTGCAAAATCTCCCTACAAAGCAGCAAGAGGGTGTATGGTGACTGGCTTTGCTGTGGATTTTTTGTTTTAATAGACTCCTATTCTCCCAACTCCATTATTAGAATCTGTCCTCATTAAGGAAAATCTGGGAAACTTCGGAAAGCTACAAAAAAATTTATATGTGTATACACACACACATACAAAGGCACACACACGTGGCTAAATAAATAAATATATGCACACATATATACGTATAAGTAAAAAGAAACTACCTGTAATCTCATTCCATATGGGGAAAAAAATCGCTGCTAACTTCTGAGATACTTCCTAGCCTTTTTACTGAACTGGACTGCAGTGTGTTCATCTTTTGAGTAAATGCTGGTCAGAGTTCCCCACACTAGCTTTTACATACAAGATGGTAACTCAAATTTAGATGAACGGCATTGCTCCTTTAGGCTTTTGGGATCTCAAAAGCTACTGGTCCTCGGAGGCCAGTAGCAGCAGGCCCAGGGAGTCCGTGAGAAATGCAGACACTGGGACCCTGCCCCAGACCTACTAAATCACAACCTCTGGTGTTGAGATGTCCAAGAGATTCTTACACTGGTTGAAGTTTGAGACCCATGGTTTTAGGCAAACTCACAGCTGAACTACCCTAACCTGGGATCTCTTTGACAACCTGAGAGGGTCTAATGGAGAGTTCATGGTGCTATATTAACATTGACGACCTCTCTCTACCCTCTCTCGGCCACGAGAAGCATTAGCGCAGAAGGTTTTTATAGGAAGCAGGATCCCCCACTTCTTCTGCTCTCTTTACCTAGAAAGTTGATTGTTCCTCAGACTCAGTTTTTGGTTCTTGCCCTTTCTGTCTCACTAATCCAGTTCTCCCCAAGCACCCTCTCGCAGCAGATGTGCAACTTCCCAAATACTTGGATCCTGACCCTTCTCAACCCCCACAGCCTGCCTCCTGGTCACTACTCACTCTACAAAGAACTTTCTCATATTTCCAAGCAACAAGGCCTAGAAAAAAAACACACATCTTCTAGCCTCTCCCATCTTTTGAGTTAACCCCACTACCACTTCCTTTCCATTTTACGTCTTGCCTATTTTTCAAGAGTCCCCTAATTTGTTTCTTCAGTTCTGCTTTTCCTTTAAACTCTAGGCTCTTGTCTTCATTTCTTGCCTGGCCTATTTTTCAAGAGTCCCCTAATTTGTTTCTGTACATTTCATTTTTCCCTCCTCCAACTTACCCTTCATATAGCTGCCAGAACGACATCTGTCAAACACAAACCTGAATCTGCCTCTAGGATATCCATCTTGGGAAATGGCTCCTCAAATCACATCTATATTTTAGGACCCACAGCCATGCCGTGATTGACAGATCCAGGCTGGCCAATCAGATTCTCAATTGAAGGCACTGCAGCTTGCAGAAGTTTACAGGCTCAGTCAGGGTTTACTACCTGCTGAGGAATGTTCTGGTTCACATACCTCCTGAGAAGTTTAACTCTCCCTTCAATGCTTTGAGTTGCCACTGAATCCTTCCCCTAAACACCCTTTATTTATTTCAAATGAAAACTTTCAGCTAATTTTCCTGCTCAAAAACCTTTCCTGGTTTTCCAGAGAATTGGATATAAAGCCCTAAATCAGTTACTGGTCAAAGTTCTAATTTGGGCTTAAAATTAACCACAGTACTGGTTTTTGTCCTCATTCTCTGACACTCTGTACTCCAGACACACCCATAGAACTTGCCAATTTCCAAGTAGCCTGTGTATTCATGCTGCTATCAGCTGAGAAGGTCCTTCTGCCATGCCCGCCTATCCTTCTAGCCCTGGTCAGCCCCACCCACACCTCAGTTCCCCTCAGGCAGAACTCATCTCTTCAGCCCCAGATGTACTTTATTCTTCCTGTCATACCACAGACATCTTGTGTCCACAGCATGATCTACACATAGGTACCCTTTCCTCTGAGTTACCACAGCAGCTGCCACAGGTCTTCATCTATGCTGGGGACTCAATATCAATCCCTGAATTCTTTGCCCAGCCGTGGGGATGAAGAGAAAAGGTGGATAATAGAACTCACTCTGGCAAGGTCCAGGTCCGCCTGCTTCCGATGCCTCCAGAAGGTGATTGAGGAACGGGAATGTGGCCGGATCACTGGCTCCCCATGGACCAGCAGTTTCACAAAGACACTCAGGACAATGACACCATTCACTAGCCACAGGAGGAGCGTTGGCATCATCCAGTCAAACCAGCCTCCAGAACCTAAAGAGGGGTATCTCAGCGGGCTCCTCATGGAACAGTCAGGCAACTAACAGACCCCAGCAGTATGACATCCAAGAAAGAGACTTCTACCTCATTTTCAGAAGAAAGGGCAGACAATTTTATAGTCTAAATAGAAATCCTGTAGCCCTTGTCACCATGGAGCCACAAAAATCTTAGCCCAAGGGGTTAGGACATTGGTTTCAAAACCCAGGTTAAAAAAAAAAAAAAAACAAAAACACAGGGCTGGGGATGTGGCTCAAGCGGTAGCGTGCTCGTCTGGCATGCGTGGGGCACTGGGTTCGATCCTCAGCACCACATAAAAATAAAATAAAGATGTTGTGTCCCCCGAAAACTGAAAAATAAATATTAAAAAAAATTCTCTCTCTAAAAACAAAAAAACACCACCAACTCCCCCAAATAGGCACTATCCCTGCCCTCCCACCTGCCCAACCCCAGGGTAATTAGTGCAGTACAAGTTTCTGGTTTGTTTTGCTCTTTCTGACTGAACTTGGGTGTGCCTTGTTATCTCCACAGTATAGTTTATGCCAGTCCCTGTCAGAAGCAAGGAGCCCCCCACTCCTTCACAGTCTGGTAGATATGTTATGTGGTTTATACACAGGACCCTTCTCTTGCCATAGCAGTACACTACACCCAGGTGGCATGAGGGGCCCCCTACCTACCTGATTCAAATGACAGTACACTACGGCCAGAGCCTGTGTACGGGTGCTGATCGGAATCATGGGCCCCTCCCCATTGTAGGAGGGAAGTCAGCGGGTTAAAGGAGAGGCCCAGGAAAGTGAGGACACACAGCAGAATTCGAGAGCGGTCCACCATGCCAATCGCTACAGGAGGAGAGTCCGGTTCATCTTTGACCTTTAAAACAGGGCTTCAGGGTTAGAATACTGCATGGGCTTTTATAGCACTTTACTTTTATATATCATACAAGAGGGATCATACTGTGAGGTTTAAATTCAAGACCATTAAGTCAGACAGGAATAAAAATAGGAGGGAGTTAAGAAGTCCACAATTCACAAATGATTTCTCAAATATTGGAGCACTCTTCCTCTCACCCACCAAGAAAAGAATGTTTCAAAGAACAAAGGCAGAGAGATTTTCTTTTAAAATAGTTATTTCCACAAAAGAGAACACACTGCATGATTCCATTTCTGTATAATTTCAGAGGAATCAAAACAAATCTAAATGACAGGAAGCTGGTGGATCAGTAGTAGCTGCCTGAGGCTGAAGAGTATGAACTGTCTGCACACGTGCGAAAAGAGAGCTTGAGGGCTGATGGAAGGACGCTTTACATTTTGATTACAATGTGCGCATGTGTTAAAACTCCTGGCCCTGTACATTTAAAATAGGTAATATGTTGCTGGGTGCAGTGGCAGATGCTTGAATCCTAGCAACTTGGAAGCCAAGGCAGGAGCATCACAAGTATGAGGCCAACCTACCTTAGCAAGACCCTGTCTTAAAGTAAAAGATAAAAAGCACTGGGGGTCTGAGGTTATGGCTCAGTGGTAGAGCACTTGCCTAGCATGTGTGAGGCACTGAGTTCGATCCTCAATGCTACCTAAAAATAAACAAATAAAATCAAGGCATATAAAAAACAAAAACAAAACAAGAACTGGGAATGTAGCTCTGTGGTAAAGCAACCCTGGGTTCAATCCCCAGTACATTAAAAGAAAAAAAAAAAAAAAAAGTACATTTTATAGCATTTAAATTTTATCTCAGTAAAGATGATAAAAGACCATGCTTCAGCATGATTCTACCTAAAGGACTGAGCCTGTTTTAAAACCAGACCATTACTTCCCCTCACTTCCCCATTTTATAGAAGGACTGGAGACAGAGGATCTGGTAGCCAATGAGGTCCATAGTGACGGAGGGAAGAAGGCCGGAGTCAGATTTCCCAAGTCCTCCCCTGAGTCCTGAAGTGTACATATCATGTCACTCCCTTTTAATATTTTAAAAACCATTTGAAAAATTTTGATGAGTCAGAAGCCTATTTAATTCAATTTATATGTCATAAGGTTTGTTGTTATCAAACAGAATTACATTTACAAAATATTTCAAAAATAAAACTTCCTTAATAAAAGTAAGATATATAAAAAAATAGATTAGTCAAAAATGTACACTAGAATGAAACTTTGTGCTTTTGGAGTCAGAAACTGCTAAAGTCAAAATATAGTACAGGACCCAGTGGTCTCCCTCTATAGTTTCCCAAGAAGATCATTAGGCTCAGAGTCTCTTTTAACTAATTCCATTAAACTTCAATTGCCAGGGGCTTTTATTGAGAATTAAAAGCCTTGGTTGGAAAGTTATCTGTTAGATTGCAAACTGTAGTCATTTCCGGAAAGAGGACCCAGAGGTAGCCTCATCCTAAACCGACTGATCAGCCTCACAAAGTGGTCTTGCCAGGACCATTAAGGTAAAGAGAAGTAATGAGGCGCCTCTAGCAACTCCCAGAGCCCACCCCACCAATAGCTGCTCTGTGTCCTGGTTCTAGATCTGGCATTCATTCATTCCTTTCCCGGGGCTTTTCAGAAGATCAGTTAAACCCGAGGGGACTGTCCCCTGCCACCTGTGTCAGTTTTCTCTTCTTTATTCTTCACGACTTAAGCTAATTTCACAGAATTCCTGTTTCTCTATGGCTTGTGCGCTCTTAACAGTTGGACTCACTCTCTGAGGCCTTCTCACAATTTTCTTAGTGGGGATATGGAAGAAATTCCAAGGGTCTGGGGATTTCAAAAATGTGTACCTTTGCATCATCCAACAGAGGACTTCCTGGCTCAGAGTCAATGGAATAGGGGGAGAAGCCAGCCTGGGACCCTGAGTCGGAGGCCGGGGGAGACATCAGAAGGACATTCTGATTAAAGTCATCAATCTTCAGGTCCACATCATTGTCTACCAGACTGCCCAGGTCAATGCCCTTCAGAAGCTCTGCAAAGAAAACCCCATAGGGAAAATTATCTGTTTTTATAGAGCTCCACCTAGGTTAGAACTGGGCTGGGTGGGGCTTCTTGAATAAAGGAAGCCTGATTCCCCTTTCTCAATGGGCACACTTACTGTTTTTCTGATTTGCCAGCTTTAGCACCATGTTCTCTTGGCGCAATTTATGATTGACCTGCTGTAAGTATTTGATGTAATCAATAGCCTTTCTCAGAACACCGGACTTGTGCATCTGGGAAAGAGAACCAGTAAAACACAATGAAGCCAGGGCAGACCAGAGTGGAGAAAGCAGAGCTTTAGAGCTTGTAGGTGGGCATGCAAGATGCTGGTTCAGCTGCTGGTTACCTGGAACAAGATTCTCCGCATCTCTGAACCTCACTTTCCTTTTCCTTAACATGGGGGTAATAATAGCATGTGAGTCATAGGTTGGCAGTGAGGGCTAAGTGAGACAGTATATGTAGAGCTTAGCCTTGAGCCTAGCATGTCATCAACACATAATATATACTAGCAATTATTCCTACTCCTTATACTATCCCTAGCACAAAAACAAACTTTAAGGAAAACAAATGTCCAACAAAAGACCAGAGAACTGGGCTGGGAATGTAGCTCAGTGGTAGAACACTTGCATAGTATCATAAAGCCCTGGGTTAGATCTCCAACACTGCAAGCAAACAGACTAACAAAAACCAGAGTACTGGGGCTAGGGCTGTAGCTCAGTGGCAGAGCACCTGCCTAGCATGTGTGAGGCACTGGGTTCGATCCTCAGCATTGCATAAAAATAAATAAAATAAACGCATGCTGTCCATACACAACTACCAAAAACAAAACAAACAAAAAACCCAGAGCATTGGGACAGTTATCTTAAGTAAAGGTACACAAGGAAAAATAATGAAATTTTCTTTCAAAATACCAGTGAAAGTAAACAGATAATAGGTTTTTAAAAAATCTCCTATTGTTGGGAGATACATTCATCACAATAGATTATATGAAAAATGAATTTCTTCTATTTGCTATTGGTCATAAACCCAATCTCTCCTCTCTCTTCCCTAAAAGGTAAAAATATTATAGCTACCCTGAACACAGCTAAGGATATGCCAGCAATGCCCTCCGCTGCCTCCAACCTGCACACAGCCTGTATCTGGCCACTGGTGAGTGGCAGGTATCTCTGCTTCCGCTGCTGGGGTCCATGGTCCCAGAAGAGCACAGGTGAAGGAGTAAAAAGTGCCCGCAAATCACTGCCTTATCAACCCTCATTAATCCCCTTATGTTAGTTAATATTTTATATGCTGACAAACACCAAGATGCATTAAGAACACATCTCTAACTCATTCTTTGCAGACACTCAACCAAGCCTGGGACTTCCCTAACTCCCATAGCAAAGAAAAGTGCAGGGGAGGTGATGGGCATGAAATGCCATTTTGTTTGGCACCTACCTTGGCATCTGTCCCCATAACCAGGTCCTTCAACTCGATGATTTTGTCGTTGATGGAGGAGCGATATCGCTTCTCGATGATATTGTGTGTTGTCCTCCTTTCTCCTTCTTTGGGAGGCTCAAGCTGCTTGACTCCCCCGGGTACCTGCTTAATGGGCACTTTCTCCTGCCCCATCATCACGGGCATTGTGGTGAGAATGGTCCCATTGCTGCCCACCAGGGTCTAGAGTAGGGGTAGAATTATCTCTTCATTAGTCTTATGTAAAGCAACCTTACAACACAGAGCTGCTTGCTGGCCAAGTCACATCATCTGGCAACGTGTCATGTGATCGGAGACCCTTCTTGGGTTAATTAAGGTAGGTCCCCAAAGGCCTTAAAGCCATGGCACCTCAGTTACTATCTCTCTTTCATGATAAATTATACCACCAGAGGATTAAGATGGCTAAACATATCTTGACTTTTGATCTAGGGGTTCCAGAAACAAGTTATATAATTTTGCTTTGCTTTCAAACTGTTAACCTCCTCTGAATCTTCCAACTATTAACCACCTCTCAGTGAACCACATTAGTTGGTAACAGAGAAAACTTTCTCTGGTTATATGACACATTTTTTTCTCTCTCATATGACAATTTAATAAATTACTGCATTTCTTTCTACAATTTGGCCCTCAAAGAGCTCAAGGGCAGAACAGGCATTCTCAATCTGAGTCATTTTATTAAAAAAATAGGCTGACCAAAAGGGCTTCTCTCTTCTATTCTTCATCTCTGCTTTCCCCTCTTATTTTGGTGATGTTTACAAATGTTTTATTTTCTACAATAAATGGCTCCAATCAAGTGGCCAATAAACAAATAAAAAGCTTCTTTAGTCATTAACAAATAATTTACACATAATAAAAGTCAGAAATTTTAAGTTTAGACCTCAATAAGGTTTTACATAAATACAATATATATAACAACCCAGGCCAAGATGTAGACCTCTCCCCTGGGCAAGTTCCCTCCTGCCCCCCCTTATAATCACTGTTCTGACTTTATCACCATAGCTGTCCTTTGTCTCTTCTTGAACTTCATGTTAGTGGAATTATTTGTGATAGGCTTCTTTGGCTCCATACTATTTTTGAGGTTTAGTCATGTGGTTCTATGCATTAATAGTTACTTTTCTCATTGATTGGCACACTCACTTTCATTGTATGAATATAAGTTGTTTATTTGTTCTCCTGTGGACATTTGGGTTGTTTCTAGTTCTTGGCTTTTATGAATAAAGCTAATGCGTCCACATTTTAATTCACCATTTACTCAATCAGACTTTTCTGTCACAGGATGCTGAAAGTGGCTGAGACCCCTCAGCTGAAGGATGAATGCTTTTCATGCTCCCCACCTTTGTGCCCCTTCTTGCCTGGTGCCCCTAGGGAGCTTCAGAAGCCAACCTCCACAAGCAGCAGGACCTAAGAGGTAATGGTCCTGTGTAGAGTAGCTGCCCAGGAACAGGTGCTGCTCTAGTGCTCTTTGCCACCCCTTGAAGATGCCAGGATTCTTATTTAACACTGGTGGAACTTTTTCAAGGGAAAACAAAATTAAAACAAGGTGAGGGCTGGGGATGTGGGTCAAGGGGTAACACGCTCGCCTGGCATGCGCAGGGTGCTGGTTCGATCCTCAACACCACATAAAAATAAAATAAAGATGTGTCCACCGAAAACTGAAAAATAAATATTAAAATATTCTCTCTCTCTCTCCAAAAAAAAAAAAATTTCTCTCTAAAAAAAGAAACAAGGTGATATTTACAATTTGACCAAAATATTCTATAGAGCTTCTAACATCTACTCAGCATGTGGTTTCACATCTCTGAAGCCTAACACCTCCAAGAAAGGAGAAGGAGGGAGGAGGGCAGGGAAGGAGGAATCTCTTACTGGTACTTGAAGGGCAGCCGTCTGGATAGGGGTGGTGAGGGCTGTGAGGGCTGGGTTCTGGACTGCAGCCATGACAGGGCTGCCATCTGTCTTCAGTGTGGTTAAAACAAGGGAATCTGTCTTGATGATCTGAGGCTGGACCAGGACCTAGATGGGGAAGGAAGATAAGGAAAAGGAAGGTGATATTACTTTTCTTATTTCACATTTATTTCTAACTGCATAGATACTCCAAGAAAGAAAAAGAAAATATGCTTTTCATGAAACTGAGAATCAAAAAATTACAGGAAATCTCATAGAAATCATTCAAAAGCTGGCTATTTTGTATAGCCTGAACACTGGCTGACAGGGAGAGAGGGGACAGTTAAAGAGGACCCTGTGTCTTAAGGCTTCCTTAAGCTTTGAGGAAGGCAGTGTTAGCAGCCTGGTAGGAGCAGAACAGGGTCCAGTCAAGGTGGACAGTAGAGGGAGACAGTTCTGACTTTGTAAAGACAGGAAAGCCAGGATGGCTGAGATGCAAAAATGATAAACCTGATTTTTTTTTTTTAAAAGATAAATTAGTTTGTTAGTAAAAAAAATAGGGTTTACTATAGCACATGACATAAAAACAACATGCTTTTCTATAAAGATAATACACATTCCTCCCCTAGAAAGAAAAACATGTTCAGTATTCATTGCAGAAAATAGGGGAGATTTCCCAGCTACTTGAGAGTCTGAGACAAGAGGATTGCAAGTTCTTGGTCAGCCTGGGCAACTTAAGGAGACTCTGTCTCAAAATAATAATAATAATAATATTAGATAAATAAAAAGGGACTAGGGGTATAGCTCAGTGGTACAGTGCTTTGCCTAGCATGTGTGAGGTTCTGGGTTTAATACCTAGTACTAGAAAAAAAAAAAAGAAGAAGAAGAAGAAGAAAAAGAAGAAGGTAGGGAAGAAAAATTTTTCAAGAAAATCATCTGGGCTGGGGATGTGGCTCAAGTGGTAGCACGCTCGCCTGACATGCGTGCAGCCCGGGTTCGATCCTCAGCACCACATACAAACAAAGATGTTATGTCCGCCGAAAACTAAAAAATAAATATTAAAATTCTCTCTCTCTTAAAAAAAAAAAAAAGAAAATAATCTGAGAGATACCAATCTGGTATATTTCTTTCCAGGTTTATACCTATTATATGTGTCAATAATCACTATACCAGCCTTTCTGAAGGGTAGGGTGAGCCACTGTAGCTCTACAGATGCAGTCTTAGCTAGGACTCTGTACACTTCTCACAGATACATCCTGGGGCCCAAGTGCCCCTACCAACTGTGCCAGCTGTTCCTTGTATATCTGACTGGTCCTTCCTAATATACAGACTACATCTTCAACCAAAGACCAGGCAACAGTCCCAACCTCCTTGAGCCCTTTTCAACCACCTACCGGGACCTGCTGCACCTGGGGTGCAGCAACTGTCTGCACTGTGGCTGGAGCAAGGGTCTGCAGTGTGCCATTGGCTGTTTGTGTCAGCACCCGCTGCGCCTGTACCGTCTGCACCTGCTGCTGGATAGTGACTGGCTGTACCTGAGAGGATGTCACCAGGCTTTGGACTTGAGGCTGAAGGACTTGGAGGAAAAGGAGGAAAAAGTCACATGGATGAGAAATGCAAGCTGTCACTGTAGCTGCAGCACTAACCCAAGGATGGAGTATCTCATAATGACTCCAACTTCCCACCTGCTGCTGAAAAAGATGTGCACAGCCATTTACAAGCTGGTTTAGAGCATAAGAACATCCCATAAGGGTTGCATCAATTTCTGAGAGAACGAGTACAAATTGTTTTATTACTCTGGGTGCTGGGGTGGAGGTAAAGGAAGCTAACTGGCAAATGACTGCACCCAGCAAGAGAGTTAATAGATGTTGAGAATCAACAACTCCCAGGGGCTTCATTTCCTCTCATCCCTTCTGGATGGAAAATGTGCTCTGGGACGATGATCTCAGCTTTTTGCCTTTATTCCACCCCCTCCCCAATTCTCCAAACCCATTAAACAACTATCAGGGTCTTTCAAATTCAGAGCAGTACTCATCACACCCAGAGCTCCCCACGGTCACTGGGATGCAGTGCACCACACAGAAAGAACAAGCACTTCAGTCACTCATTCACTCATCACATACAGAGGACATGCAACTCAGAAACAGCACCTATTTTAAAAGTCATACTCATCTCTGCAGTGGATGTTCAGGAGTTGTTTGCTGAATTGATCATTCCCACCTGTGGGTGCGAAGGCCTGGCTGCTGCCTAGCCAAGATTGAGACCTAACTTTATTCACGACTGTGTGTCTCTAGTTACTATGATGGCCTTGTGTCTACCATGCCTGTTGGACTCTTTGACCAAGTACCCTTGAACTAGGCCTAACAGATATTAAGGTCTTTGAGGAAGCAGAATGTAAAACATTCCTGCACCAGTTCATGGGGCCAGTGACCTGACGCTCATCCAGACAGGGCCATACTCAAAGAGGATAGAATTATCTGCATGGGCAGAAAACTGGCACAAGAACTCTGGAGCTACCCAGCAGCCCCACATCCAACATCTGAATCACCTTGAAAGCTGGTGGCTGCATTCTGGTAGATCAGGGGCTGCTGGATGATCCTCGTCTGTGGAGCGGTGCTGAATGTTGGGGTGATCATTACTGTCTGCTGTTGCAGCTGAGTTGCCGGTTGAGCCTGGGGCTGGGGCCGGGGCTGGAGAATAGGGGTTGCCCTTGGTGGGGTGGGAACTGCAGTAGAAGGGACCTTGACCTGTAGGGCTGGAGCCTGGGGGGAGGCAGCTGAGGGAGAGAAGGAAGATAACGGGACCTGGCTGAATGACCGCTGTATAGAGGGGTCCACGGCTCCGCCACTGCTGCCCCTGCCATTGCCGCTGCTGCCGCCACTACTGCTGCTGCTACTACCACCACTGCCAGGGAAGGAGCCACACAGCTGTTCTGAAAACAAGTCAGGGAACTCTCCCACTTGATTGCTGACGAACTGCAGCATCTCTGTGAACAAAAAGAAAAGGAGTAATGTTATTGCTACCCCAAATACTAACTTTCAGACTTCTCAGAAACTGAAGCATAGGGGGCTGGGGTATAGCTCAGTGGTGGAGTGCTTGCTTAGCAAGCTTCAGGCCCCAGGTTACATCCCCAGCACGAAAGAAAAGAAGGGAGGGCAGGAAAGAAAAGGAAAGAAAGAAAAGAAACTGAGGCATGAAAATCCAATGCCTTTTCTAAAAAGCAGAAATGGGTCAGGAGACAATGAGGCAGAGGGTGGGTAGTTACTGTCCTAAGGCTTTGAAGCGCAGCCGTTTTGGTCTATGAGGCTACTTCCTATCTCAGTAGTGGTTTTTTTTGGGTACTGAGGATTGAATCCGGGGGCGCTTAACCCCTAAGCCACATCCCCAGCCCGTTTTATATTTTTTTTATTTAGAGATAGGGTCTTACTAAGTTGCTAAGGTTGGCTTTGAACTTGCAATCCTCCTGCCTCGGCCTCTGAGCTGCTGGGATTACAGGCGTGCGCCACTGCACCCCTGCTGCAGTGTGCCAGACCCCACCTCTCCCTAACCCTTTACTCCTCAGCAGGCAAGCTCTGGGGCCTCCTCTCCATTGGTGCCCTTGGAAATGCTCAGGGACAGTGAAGCCGAAGACGCCAAAGTCAGGGATCTTTAGGGGCAGAAAGAATGGAAAGATCATAATGCGAAGTCCAGAGCAGGGAAATAACTTGACAACACAACTTGTTGGAGCACAGCTAGGAGTAGAACCAGTTCTCTGACTCTACTTTGTTCTCCTATTGCACCACAGAGCACTGCCAGAAAGCCCAGGCAAAAGCAACCTGCCCTTGCCCTGGACTCCATGCTCTACAGGCCCGCTCTAGCCTTCCTCTGGCTATACCCTTTCCCTGTGGGCAAGGAGTCTGTGGGACCAGAAGGATGTGTTCACCTGGAGATCGTGTTCCCCCTTCTAGATCATGTTCTAAGTACCTGCAACTCCTGAATTCCCAGTCCAAAAGGATTCAAGCCTTCTTCCAGGGCTTCTTCCCTAGTCCTTCCAAAGGCTTACCCAAATCCAACTTGTTCCACGACTAATAATTTATCTTTCACAACTTCTTCCCTAAAACCGCTCCCTACTTACTAGGAGTCTGGGGGCCTGAGTTTTTTTTCACTTATTTTCAGCTGTAATTCTCTACACTATACAAATTCCTTTTCTTTTCCTCATGCTAATACATCCCCCCCCAAGAAGCTACTGCTTGTTCTTGAACAGTGGGTGGTCCCTTCTCTCCAAATTCTCAAGGCCACAGGATGCTCTGATTTGGACACCAAACCAACCACCATCACCACAATAACAAAAAAAAGCACCATTTCCATTCATTCCCCCAAGTCTCCACCAGCAAGTCCCTCCCAAGTCTTTGATACTATGTGTGGAACGGGTGTCTGGAGTATGAAGAATTATGAGAAGAGCAAGCAGAACACTGCGGGGGGGTGGGGGGTGGGGGAATGGGCGTGAGAGGGTGGGTTTCTAGAGTGGTCTCCATACGGGTAACTCGAGCTTAGCATTTCAAGTTCAGCACCATAAGCATTCAGTCAGTTTAACCTGCTAGGTAAAACAGCATTTCAGCAGACTAAATCCTTACAGTGGTACTACTTACCAATACCTAGATACTCTGCTCTGTCCTCAACCTGTTATGTGTGGGAAGAAGTGGGCAGATTGCCACAGATACTGCAACTCATACCAACCAAGTCCAATTTTCTTGTACACAATTCAACTAAGAAATGTTCTCAAATTCAGCACAAAATCTAAACAAAACACAAACTAGTGCTCACACAAGTACAACAAAAGATTATAAAAAGCTTTAAGAAAATGATCAAGAGAAACCTGTTTGTTGAGCCTTCCAGAATGCCCTAAAATCCTGGCTTTCTGGGAAATCAACACAGAGGCCTATTTTCAGAGGCTCTCACTGGCTACCTGTTTTCCCCTGAGGAAGACAGAAGGCTGGGGCAGCCTGGTGGTTAGGCACGGGCTTTGGTGTCACATGGGCTTTGGTGTGCATCTCAAGAAGCTAGCCCAACTAGCTGTGTCAATGTGGACAAGCTACTCCTCTCTATTCTCAACTTCCCAACCACAAAAGGCAGCTGAGAAAACACCACTTTGCTTCTTTGCTCTGAGAATTAATAAGATAATTTATGCAAAGTGCTTGGTGAGGGGCAGGCCCTGGGGAAGCTCCCTACTTTGATACATCTAGAGTACCCACTACACAGGCACTTAGGCCCGCTTATCTCATCTCATCAAGTGCTCTCAAAACCCTTTTGTGGGGGAAGACAAGCTGGTGTACAAAGGTCACAGGCTTAGTTCACAAAACAGGTTAAGAATACGTAGGCAGATGAAATGAGATTGCTTAAATTTAAAAAAATATCCCTTTCAGGGCTGGGGCTGTGTCTCAGTGGTGGAGCGCTTGCCTAGCATGCATGAGGCCCTGGGTTCGATCCTCAGCACCACATATAAATAAATAAATAAATAAAGGTATTGTGTCCATCTACAACTAAAAATTATTTAAAACAAAAATTTCCCTTTCAATCGTCACACAGAAAGATCCAGTGGAGACATTTCTAGGCAGCCAGGTCAGGACAGAGTGGTGTGGGGGGGCTGTTAAGAAGAGCAATGGGGGGGACTGGGGTTGTGGCTCAGGGGTAGAGCGCTCGCCTAGCATGTGCGAGGCGCTGGGTTCGATCCTCAGCACCACATAAAAATAAATAAAATAAAGGTATTGTGTCCAACTTAAAAAAAAAAAAAACTTAAAATAAATAAAATAAAGTTAAAAAAAAAAAAGCAATGGGCTGGGGCTGTGTCTCCGTTGTTAGATTGCTTGCCTAGCACGTGTGAGGCACTAGGTTCAATCCTCAGCACCATGTAAAAATAAGTAAATAAAATAAAGGTATTGTGTCCATCTACTATAAGAAAAGACGAACATTTACACAGAGGATCCACAAGAGCCTCTGGAGCATCTCCAGGGTGGGGAGCACGCACCCTGCAGTGCCAGAGAACGGGAGGCCTGGAGAACCAGGGCGCAGGCCCCAGGAGCAGGCCCACTCTGTGACTCTAAGCTGCGTCCTGTGGGCACATCCTAATGTCTTCTCGCTACTCCCTGCTCTGATCATTTGTGCTTTGCGATTACACAGGCTCTCATTTCCACAGAGGGTGGTCATGAAACCCAGAGAAGGGAGGCCTGGGAGAACATTTACGGAATTTTAAAAATAAAGTTCAGTTTCTTGCTGCAGCCCACGGGGCCCAGGGCCAGAGACAGGCTTCCCAGGAGCTGGGTAGGCACACCCAAGCTCACCCCATTCCTCTCTAAGCCACATTTCTGTTTTAGGCTGCTTCTTAAACTTAGGGCTACATTGCTTAAAAAAGTATGCAGGGACCCATGAAACTATTTCTGGGTTCTGGTCTCTTTAAAAGCATGTAACCAAAATTAGAGGTTGTGGTTGTTAACCATGCATTGCAGGCAGCCCTGTGTCTCATCTACAAGTGTCTCAAATTCATCTGTACTTTATGGAGCTTGTGACTTAGAGGTAGCAAGTTACTTTGCCCAGCTCAGCCCCGTTGCATCTATTTAGAGTAAGATAACCCGAAATATGGTCAGACTAATTTGGTTAGAAATAAGGAATCCAAATCTCCTAGATGGGGCAACAGTCTCTCCAAACTGCAGTGAGTCAACAATTCTTCAGTAGGTATTTGTTACCTAGCCCTGTTAGATACGCAGTGTGTTGGTTTACAAGAGCCCCACCTTCCTCTCTCTTTTTTTTGTGATATTGGGGATTGAGCCCACAGCCTTGCACATGCCAGGCAAGCACTGAGCTACATCTTGGTCCTTTTTTTTTTTTTTTAAGTTGTAGTTGAACACAATACCTTTATTTTACTTATTTATTTTTATGTGGTGCTGAGAATCGAACCCAGGGCCTCACATGTGCTAGGCAAGCGCTCTACCGTGGAGCCACAACCCTAGCCCATCCCCAGTACTTTTTATTTTATTTTGAGACAGAGTCTCACTAAAATGCCGTGGCTGGCCTCAAGCTTGCCACCCTCTAGCCTCAGCCTCCCAAGCAGCCACGATTATAGTCACGTGTCACCAGCCCCACTCATTATTCTTTTTTGTTTTGCTCATTTATTTTTATATTTTGTATTTATTATGCACCTTGTGTTAGACAATGTCTTAATTTTTTAAAATCATAAAACAAATTACTGAAAAATTTAGAAAAGTTAAATGAAGAGAACAAAAATTTAAAATCCAGCAATTCTACTACCCTGAGACATCCACTGACAATATTTTGATGTGTGTATTCTTTCAGGCTTCTTCCTACAGGAGACCGGCTTGTACACACAAACATACACATACATGCAAATGGTTTTACAAAGATGAGATTCCACTCAAAATGCTAATGCTCTGTTTGCTTAATAAAACATGAAGAGCATTTACTGTCAACCATTATAAATATAATATTTTTTGAAAAGTCATACAATACTAAATTGTATTGGTCCACTGGATCTATTTAGTCACTTAGTGATAATAGTTGCTTTCATTTTTTTTTTCAGGATTATTAACAATTCTTAGAAATGTACAAAAATCATTTCCCAGGGGCTGGAGTTGTGGCTCAGTGGTAAAACACTTGCCTTTCATGCTTGGGGCACTGGGTTCGATTCTCAGCATCACATAAATAAATAATAAAGGTATTGGTTCCATCTAAAAATTAAAAAAAAAATCATTTCCCACTTATCATTCATTTGGGATGAATCCTTAGAAATTAGATGGTTGGGATGTGTGCTTTGGGAGGGCTACGATAATCTGTGCTTTCACCACTGTCTCCCTACAGCTATCTGAAATAGTGGATAAAACCAACATGTCATCGTTTTGTTTTGCATGGTTAAATGCTAAATGAAGGAAAATTTTTTTCTATCTCAATTTTAATGACCATTTGTATTTCTTTCATTATAAATTGCCTATTCTTGAC